ATTGAAGGCTCAGAGAAATAAACGTTCGGAACCTTACTATCTTCCTTTTTATTATGAAGAGCGTTGAGAGAAGGGAGTCTTACGATCCAATCCTGAGAAATACCACACGGTACATATATTAGGTCTTTAGGGAAATCGCTAAGTAGCGAAACAAATTCTTAACTACCATCTTAGACTAACCAGAATAGAATAACCCATTGTAAAACATGATAATTATTTCTTTTTAATTAAAAACAAATGAAAAGAATATGTACCCCTCATAGCATGCCTTTTAAATAATACAAACCAATATGTGGTGATTTTAACTTTTATTTAGGCCAAGATGGATCGGCATAATATTTCTTCAATGGCTGCCATGGCTATTGCGAATGTCACGCCCCGGAAATCCAATAACAAAAAAGTCCATTCTCTTGCAAAATAAGGTAAAGCCAAAGAAAAGCATAGTTACGCAAATTATTACCAAACTATTCATGATATGAAAAAAATATGATAGAAAATAAACCGTGTTTAATATTAGGCTAAACTTTTAAAAGCAATTATACCAAAAACGTTTTCAAAAATGAGTTTAATTTTCTATAACAGCAATACTTAATAGTTTTATTTTTCTTAAATTTAATTTCAAAGAAACCATTAAACCCTATCTTATATTCAAGATGGAGGAATTAGAGAGAGGAGATAAAAAATCGAAAAGTCTGCTTGCAAATGTTCTTGATATGGACGACGACTTTATAGCAAGTGTTGCCGCGGAGAAGATTGTTAACATGTGCCAGCCGCAGCCACAAATCTGGAATGATTATGAAAGTCTAAATGGTTATATAATGGGTTCTCCTAGATCTCCTAATCTGAGGTATCGCAAATATTTACGGGATGAAATGTAAATTGAATATTATATTTTTATGTATTTTAATGACCAGATTTAATATAATAGTGAGAAGTGTCTTACTTTTCATAAAATACAGTTCCTGAGATTGAAGCGGGAATCTTAATTATTAAGTATCAAAATTATAACACTTAGAAAAAATCTATAGTAAAAGATTTACAAAGGAATTGAGTCTTTGCCACAAACTCTGATTTTCTAATCTCTATATCTTTGGAACCAAATGTTGCAGACCTTAGATATTTCAAACTATGAATTCTGTTAGATCAAATAATCTGCGTTTGAAATATCAAAGGTTTACAACATCGAGTTCTAAAGATATTGAGGTTTTAATATTTGATTTTGTTCCAAAGACTCAATTCCTTTACTAAGATTTAGTCAGAGTATTACCACAAATCGTTTGAAAATTGGCGCACATTTTTCTTGTCTTTGTTTTTCTACAGAGCGTCCCATATCTTATTAGATTATCTCCAAGTTTAAACGCCAAAATCAACCCAAAATACTCAAAAAAAACTAGCATTTTCCGCCAGAAAATTCTTATATTAGCCTTATTAAATTTTTCAAAATGATTATTTTTTCTTTGACTTTCTGATAAGTCCCAAAAATCGTAATTTAGACCGATTGACGATCTAATATGATATGGGACACCCTGTAGCTAAGATTTTATCATACTAGCCTTAGAGGGCGCTTCGCGCCCATCTTCTAAATTAATTGTGAACATGTTCTCTTTGTGTACATCGTAAAACAAAACAAAAATAATTCTCGGATTTTCACAAAAAATTTCGTGGATTTTCAAAATTTAAAAAAATTTAATGAAGATTGAATTTTGATGGAGACAAATATTTAAAATTTCAATCATTCATAAACCTTCCCTGGGGTCCCTAGATGTCCCACAAAAAATTTGGGCCCGATCGGTTCTGCCGTTTTGACGTTTATTGGATACAAACAGACAGACAAGCCAAATTTATATATAGATTAAGTTGTTAAGTTTGTAAAAAATTCTGAAGTAAAGTAATATTTTACAGTTAATATGACAAATTGGCAACAAAAAATGTCAATTGAGAATACATTTTATGATTTTATTATAAATATTGCAGAATCAAAATTATGGCATGATAAAAATCTTTACAATCGTAATAATGATATATAATATGAAAAAAAAATAATTTTATTCTAATTTCATTAATGGCCTAAAACATAATTGCAGTTGTCCCCCCCTCCCACCCTCTGTGCTTAGCTTTGAATAGTACTAGACACAAGTTCCATTAGTGATTTATTTGGTACGCAGTAGTTCCTGGTCCAAGTTAATTAGGTGTTGGATAAGATAGAATCCCTGCCATTATTTAGATTTCTTGCCTTTAACTGGACCCATTCATACAACCTTTACCTGCCAAATTATATACAACATTGGTCAATTTGAGGGAAAAGATGGGGGGGGGGGGGAGTTTGAATATTGACAATAAACACGGGATTTGGAAAAAAAATTCTTATTAATTGACTTCCTTTACATGAAAAAATTTGTTTGGAATTTCTAAAATATGATCAGAAATTTTCACCTTCTGGATTGCAATCATCTTTTTTTTATTCAAAGTTTTAAATTTTAGCATGCTGAGAATTTGAGATTTCAATTTTTCAACTCTAAGCAAATGTTAACTATGGATTTCAATGTTTATGTTTTTTTATTTTTTGATATGAACTAAAAAATTTTCTGATATGAACTAAATAATGTTCTGATATGAACTAAATAATGTTCTGATATGAACTAAAAATTTTCTGATATGAACTAAAAAAAATAGTCTTAAGATTTTTTGTGCAGTAAGACTCTACTATGGAATATAAAGACGACACTTGAGAAATCTTGTATTTGTGTTTGATGTCGTCCTAAAGCAAATAGTTTTACCACCAGCTTGACAATCAACATTGTAATTGTGATTTTAAACTGCAAAATGTGTTTCATGTGCATCGGACTATATTGAATAACTGAGTCTAACAGTCACATTCCACAGTTTTATAGGCTTCACCGTACACAAATATATGTGTACCTCAAATTTAACAAAGGAATTGATTCTTTGCCACAAACCAAATATCTTTGCAACCCAATGTGGTAGACCTGACACATTTGAAACTATAAATATTATAGGATCGAATCATGTAATTTTTAACTCTCAAATGGTTACTCAATCAGGTTGCAAAGGGATAGGAATTAGAAAATTTTAAGACTCAATTCCTTTTATCATGAAATATGTATGCATGGAATAAATACAGTGGCAGATCCCATAGTAACCTAGAGCAATTACGTTGTACATTGTTATTAAATCTAAATGCGCTAATCAGTAACATTCGCAAATCTTGATTTGTTTTGATTACGGTGTGAGAGTTTAGCGAATCATTCTCTTGAACTCTAAAACTAGATTGGGAATCGATACAGATAAACTCGTGTCCAGATTGACATTGATAGTAAAGTATTATTGAACTCAATAGCTCTTATGACTCGTCAATGAGATGGAACGAGCATTGATACATTGTGTTGATTCGGGATTGATACGGGTCTCAGAGACCTTTATGGAGTAGGGCATTTACTACATGCACATTGCGTTAGGGTTCTTTAATTATGTTGGACCCATGTAACATGACGTGGTAATTTATAGAGATAATAGTCACGTGAGCTGGAAATTAATGAAGGGGAAAGATCTGGCTCAATTTGAGCAATTACAGAAGTACTTGGTTAATTAGTTCGCCACCTCCTGGCAGAAATTAGAAACCCTAAATATCTTTTCTGTGGCGGGGTTTTCGTTAATCTTATATAAAAATAATTTTTTGTTAGAAAATCAAATTAATGCTGAAAAATTCATTCCAAATATCTTGAAATATCTTATATATTGTGCTTCAACTCATTCAACTACAGAGTGTCACTAAACCTTTAATTCTGTTTTGATCTACATTTAATCCATGTTTGGTCTCGATATGAAGATTACAAACTGCAAAATGGTTGATTTAAGAAGCATTTGTTAAAATCCAGGTAGAATTTAGTTTGAAAGTGTCGGCAAGCAAGTTAAAAGAACAGATCACTAGTCTCAAAATCTAATTTTCTAATTATTATATCTTTAGAACCTGAGGCTACAATTTTTTATACTATAAATTCTATTTTATAATTCCTGAATAGTCAGCATTTACAAATTAAGTTTACAGTCAATCAAGTTAAAACTAGATTAAAGGATTATAAAATTAAAGTTTTACTTGAGTGTTTACTGTTTAGTTCCTTTCTTCAAAATTCCAAACTGTCCTCTTGTCTAGCTATTTCACCACAAGTCAACACTGTTGTGCTGTGAATCTCGAGATCAAGTATAAATCCATAAAGAATAGAATATATATTAGAGAGGAATTTAGAGAATCTCTCGGTATGAATTTTTTCAGTCCCTTTCAACCTGAAAGGAAGTTCAAAGTGTACAAATCATGTAAATGTTCACAAATTATATGCAGTAGAGTACATTAATACAGTATGTTCCCTGACTATTCATTTCAATTTCGAAATTTTTAAAGCTGTTAAATAAACTTTATAATGAATTAGGTGAATAAAAAACCATCATTTGATTTATAGTTATAACGGAAAATCGTCGTTTGTAAAGTGAAAGGCATAGAGTCTATGTGAAATGATCATTGGTCAATTATGAAACCAGCCTATTTCATAATTTGGTTTTCTCTTAACATTAATTTTAGATTTTCTATAAAATGATATTCCAGGGCCCAAAAGTTATATAGCATAAATATGTGACGTACACCTGCAGTATGGAAACAGTACAACAAAATGTCCGTTTTACACTTTTTTCTAGTAAATTTCCCTCTAATATAAATTCTATTCTCTTTGTATAAATCTCCATCTTATGCAGAAATCTATGGATTCTTCGATATCCCGCATTTCGATTAAGGACAGTTAACGGTTAACAAAACTCAACAAAACAGTTTCGACCTCTGATAAAATACTAATTATCAAATTTTCAAATTATTATTTAGCTCCCCAACTCGGAGCCCTGTAACCTGCAATATGGAGCATACCTCGGCTCCAGGAGCATTAGAACGAGAACTTCAGGTTAATAATACAGTAATTACTGACTTTATTCAAAACTATTTTATAAAATCTAAATTAATTTGAGATATTTTTGTATTCTACTTTACACAAATTGTAAAGAGGAGTAAATTAAAATTAAAATCTTCGAAAAAAAGTTTCTCATACAACTAATTATACAAGCTATAGCATGACTGTAAAATTGTTAAGCGGTTTTATCCGGTTAAACCACATATGAAAATATCTTCCAGCATGATGATCAATAAACCTAATAATAATTTGAAAAGAATTGAGTCTTTGCCACAAACTCAAATGTTCTAATCCTTATATCTTTGCAACCTGTTGGTGTACACTTATGAAATTTCAAACTTTGATTATTTGATCTAACATAATTTACAGTTTGAAATATCTAAGGTCTACGACATTGGGTTGTAAAGATATAAGGATTGGAAAACCAGAGTTTGGGGCAAAGACTCAATTCCTTTAGTGCATCAGAAGAGAAATAAGTGTTATTGCTGACAAAGTTCGTGCAGATGCTGAAGCTGCCAGATTAGAATCAGAATGGAAATTTGCCGCCATGGTAACTTAGATTTTAATAATTTTCCGCCAAAATAATCTAAATGTTTTGATTCAGTAGTTAAATCTTTTTCTCTTTAAACCAAAAATGTTGTTTACATCTTTACAGGTGCTAGACCGATTGTGCCTTCTCGCCTTTACCGGGTTTACTTTCATCCTGTCAGCTGCTGTGCTCCTTGCCGCGCCACATGTTCTAGTAGTTTGAATTTCGGCCATCTTGGATCAGAGACATTGTAATATTTAAATAGTTTTAGATTTATTTTAAAAGTGTAGTTTTTATGTCTCTCATCTAATAGCAAAAATTATGTTTTTTGTTAATTACCTTTAAAATTGTATTCAAATTGTTGTTATTCAACGAACACTAAAATGTAAATTTTGGAAATCTTTAGCAATTTGTCAAAATGTATATTTCTTTTGAATTATTGAAATCATTTAAAAAAGCTATTTATAAAAGAAAATTTCAATATTCACAAATGACAAATAAAATTTATTTATTTCATTAAAATCTCTCCATTTATATATTCATAACAAGTTAAAAATGTTTCATTGTGCAAGATATTTCAGAATTTAAACAAATTGTCTAACTTGCATGCTAACGTGAATAAAAAGTTAAGCCTTGTTTAATCTAGTTTAAGTATTTATAACATTTAAATACCAGCCTCAATTGATGTCTCAACTTTCAAAATGAAATATTTCTTTTAATTTTTTACATGCTTCCCAGCATTCTTTTTTTACTGGAAAACAAATCATCGTCGTAGGTTTCCAGATACGGGTTCTCAACAACATCTTCATCAAGATTATCAACATACTCTTCATCATCATCGAAATCATCCTCTTGATCTGTATCTGCTAGATCATCCTGATTGCGTTTATCTACACCCCATAAACCGTAATCATCCCAAGTGTCAGCAAACTAGAAAATATTATTTTACTGTTAAATCGTCTTCAATTTACTCTCAAAGATGTTATTGACTCAGATAATAAGAAACTTAAACAATAAACTCTGATCCTAGGATTTCCAAACTGTTGTCTTCTTGTTTTTAAATGTGATCTGCCTTCCTTGAACCTTTAAAATCTACCAAAATTATAATTTTGTCCTTGTTTCGATTTATTTATTCAAATTATAAGCAAAATTGTCTGAATTTCCGATAGCTTGTTCGTTTTAAAAGATTCAAACTTTATAATAATTAAATGTAGAATTTAAACAACAAAAATTATTGTAATGCCATCACTTAGATACCATCTTTACTGTAAGTTTTCCAAAAAACATTAGGCTGAAAGAGAACAAATGATAAAGTACAAAATAAATAGTACCTTATTAAAAAGTCGTTTTTGCATATGATTGTGATCATGTTCCATCCTTTTCATCCTTGGTTTATCTCGTTTAAGCAAAGGAGTATATGGAAGGTCGTCATCTAATGATTTTTTCTTCAAATTTCGTTTTTCCTCTCTTACGCGATTTTTGTTGTTATTTGCGCATTTGTCCGTATCTGCTTTAAAAGGCTCAACAACTTTTACCTACAATATTTTAAACGAATAAAGCCTTTTATTGAATTGTTTTCTGTGTTATTACTAAGATTTTTCAAGCTCAGCTCATTTATATGAGAAATATTTTTTTAGTGAATTAAATTGAGTCAAATGAGTATGTCAATTTTCTTTATTAGAATATAAAGAACAAAAATTTTCTAATCTCTTTATCATTGCAACCTAATGGCGTATACCTTTAATAATATAATTAGATTATTTGATCTTGCAGAATTCATAGTAAGAAATATCTCAGGTCTAGACATTCGGTTGCAAAGATGTTAGATTTAGAAATTTTATAGCATTACTTTTTTCCCATTTTCCCAAATTTTAAAATGTGCGGAAGTAAACACCGCTACCTGAGGAACCTGGTTCCATGTTCCTGGGAATGGTTCTCCTGTTCCCCGCATACACTGCATAGACAGAGTTCCCTGTGTGTACAGAGTTCCAAGGTCTCCAGACCTTTTCTTGTTCCATCTAACATCAAATATACAGGGTGTCCCACGAAACATGACAGTTGGTGAATAGTTTAAAATGTTTTCTTACATAATTTGACAAGTTGTTTGATACTAAAGGGACTAAAAACATTTTTTTATATGACAGTTATATCATAGTAAAATTGATTTCACAGTAAGATATATATGACTTAAACATATTTTTAAGAAATAAAATGCAAAATGTCTTCAATATCTAATACAGAATGTGGAAGATGACATTCAAAACTATTCACCAACTGTCATGTTTTGTGGGACACCCTGTATTTGAAACTAGAAATAGGCAAAATCTTTCCTAAAATTAGGAAAATAGAGGATGAACTTATATTATAACGCAAAATAATAATAAATAATAATGAGGGTGCACTGTCATAATGAGAGCATATATTTAGAATGCAAATTAAGGAGGCAGAATTGAGCAGTGTTTCATGTTCATTGCACTATTTAAACATGCGCTAAAAAGTCCTATTCCATTTATATATTTATATATTTATTCAAAAATATGAATGAAAATTTCTATGCTGATAAGTCCTCAGCGGAGTTGTATCATGCATCGTAAAATCAAGAGGATTTATTTACATATCTGTAAAATCGTGTCTATAACTCATTTCTTTAGGGAACCATATAATTGGATACATGTACATACAAAGTAACAAAATATAACTAAAGGATGGAATTCCCAAGAGCTTAGTTAAATCAAACTAGTATAAAATTACTTTGAATCTATTTGCTGTTAGAAAAACAAATTATTTAATCTGTTCTAGCAACAGTGCTCCTTCCTTGAGCTCCAGGAAGTGGCCTTCTTTTAGCCTGAAACAGGCTTAAAACTAACCCACAACTGTGTAAAACTGCAGAATCCTACCTGATACTTCTATAGTTCTCCTCTACAGATTTATCCTTGTTAGTCTCCTGACCTTCATCTTGGTTCAGCTTATCAAAATATTCATAGAGGTCGTCTGTATCTACAGAACTCTTGCAAACCTTTAAATAAAGATATTGAAGGAAATATTCATATATTAATTATTAACATTGGTCCATTACTAATATAAAATGAATAAATAGTTTCCTACAGTAAATTGTTAGTTTCTGCCAAAAATTGCCAGTTACCTGTTTCTGATATGAATTATCAGTTCCTGATATGAATTATCCGTTTCTGATATGAATTATCAGTTCCAGATATGAATTATCCGTTTCTGATATGAATTATCAGGAACTGGTATTAATTATCAGTTTATGATATAAATTATTAGATCCTGATATGAATTATCAGTTCCTTACATAAATTATCAGTTCCTGATATGAATTATCAGTTCTTTATATAAATTGTCAGTTCCTGATATGAGTTATCACTTCTTTATATAAATTGTTAGTTCCTGATATGAATTATCAGTTCCTGATAAAAATTATCAGTTCCTGTTGTTCAGATTTACCTATAGTTGAATTTTAGGATAATATTTAACATAGTTTAACTTAGTTGAACTTTAGGATAATAATGAACATATTTTACCTCTAAATTGAACTTTAGGATAATAATGAACATAGTTTACCTCTAGTTGAACTTTAGGATAATGATGAACATAGTTTACCTCTAATTGAACTTTAGGGTAATAATGAACATAGTTTACCTCTAATTGAACTTTAGGATAATATAGTTTACCTCTAATTGAACTTTAGGATAATAATGAACATAGTTTACCTCTAACTGAACTTTAGGATAATACTGAACATAGTTTACCTCTAATTGAACTTTAGGATAATAATGAACATAGTTTACCTCTAGTTGAACTTTAGGATAATACTGAACATAGTTTACCTCTAGTTGAACTTTAGGATAATAATGAACATAGTTTACCTCTAATTGAACTTTAGGATAATGAACATAGTTTACCTCTAGTTATACTTTAGGATAATAATGAACATAGTTTACCTCTAACTGAACTTTAGGATAATACTGAACATAGTTTACCTCTAATTGAGCTTTAGGGTAATAATGAACATAGTTTACACACATCTCCTCTGTAAACCCGAATCCTCCTGAGAAACACATAAAACAACTGATTTTATTCTTCTTCAATATTCTAAATTTGAAAAAAAGAATTCTGGATCCTTTTCCAAGACTAAATGATAATAAATATTACAGCCAGGACAATAAGTTTGTTGTCAAAAAAAAAATTTCAAGTAATTAAGTCAGAGTTAGTAATTAAAATAGATATACAAAAGATACTTAGCTTATCATGAAATAGTAAAAATTAATGAGCGTTTTAAGTTTAAGACTAAAATACTATTTTGTTTACCTAAAGTTATATTTTCTCTGTTCAGAGTTGAATATAAACAAGAAGTAAGTAAACTGTCACCAGGCAGTACATGTACAGGCTTTATCAGCTCTCTGATCTCCTGTACAATATTACTATATTTACATGTACAGGCTTCATCAGCTCTCTGATCTCCTGTACAATCTATATATAAATTTGGCTTGTCTGTCTGGGTGTCTGTCTATTTGTTTGTATCCAATAAACGTCAAAACGGCTGAACCGATCGGGCCCAAATTTTTCGTAGGACATCAAAAAGAACATTTTCACAATTTAAATAGAAGATGGGCGCGAAGCGCCCTAAAAGCCTAGTTTTACTATATTTACATGTATACAGTAAAGACAGTCAGTAAAGATAGTAAAGATCGTAAAGACAGTAAATATAATAACGATCGTTAAGACAGTAAAGATAATAACGATCGTTAAGACAGTAAAGATCGTAAACGCTGTAAAGACAGTAAATATAGAAAAGACAGAACAGATCGTAACGACAGTAAAGATAGTAAAGATAGTAAAGATCGTAAAGACAGTAAAGATAGTAAAGATCGTATAAGACAGTAAAGATCGCAAAGACAGTAAAGATCGTAAAGACATTAAAGACAGTAAAGATAGTAAAGATCGTAAAGACAGTAAAGATAGTAAAGATAGTAAAGACAGTAAAGATTGTAAAGACAGTAGAGATCGTAAAGACAGTAAAGACAGTAAAGTTAGTAAAGATCGTAAAGACAGTAAAGATCGCAAAAACAGAAAGATACTAACGATCGTTAAGACAGTAAAGATAGTAAAGATCGTAAAGACATTAAAGATCGTAAAGACAGTAAAGACAGTAAAAATCGAAAAGACAGTAAAGATAGTAAAGATCGCAAAGACAGTAAAGATCGTAAAGACAGTAAAGACAGTAAAAATCGAAAAGATAGTAAAGATAGCAAAGACAGTAAAAATCAAAAAGACAGTGAGGATAGTAAAGATCGCAAAGACAGTAAAAATAGTAAAGACATTTAAGACAGTAAAGATAGTAAAAATCGTGAAGACAGTAAAGATAGTAAAGAGAGTAAAGCTCGTAAAGACTGTGAAGATCGTAAAGAAAGTAAATTAAGACAGTAAAGATAGAAAAGATCGTAAAGATCGTAAAGATTGTAAAGAAGTACCTGAAAGTGTGTTGAATAATGTTTATCAATGTTTACAATATATTCCCGCCCTCCTCGAACCAGAGTAGTCTGAACTCTTTTTCCTATATAGGTTGGAAAATATATATTTTGGAACAAAAATACTGATTTTTTCCCCCCCAACATAAAATTTTCTAATCCCCATATCTTTGCAACCCGTTAGTGTAAACCTTTGATATTTTAAACAGACTTTTTGATCCAACAAAATTCACACTTTGAAATATCAAAAGTCACCGACATCGGGCTGCAAGGTTTAAAAATCAGAGTTTGTGGGTGTGGTAAAAAGTAAGTTCCTTTACGAAATCGATTTGATCTTTAAAAATAATTTTCTGTTAGAAAAAAATACAGAAAAAAAGGTATTTAAAGGGACTGTTAGCGTAAGTTTAAATGACCCTTTATGCAAGGATGGCAATGTATTTACAACGGTACCCTTGAAACCTTGATCTGATAAAAAATGTGGAAGATATCGTCGTTTTTTTTACTCGAAAAATATTTTTTTATGTGAGTTTCTCTATTGCTTCTTATATACAAGAAATGCGCAAGTCACTTTCTCAGAGAAACCACAAAGGAAAATAAACAGTTTAAATAAACTGAAACATTGATATCTAATTCATAATTGACCAGAAAAAGCTTTTAAGGGTAGTGTTGTAAATATTGGCTTCTTTCCTGCATGGGAATGGTTACTTGAAGCAGTCACTTTAAACAAAATAAAGAATTTCTAAGCGCGTTCTAACCTGCACCATGCGTATGTAGCTGAGATCCAAAAATAACGATGCCTAGAATAAAATAAATGTTAGAAACTTATATCATTCACAGATAAATAGATACAATTGCTCTTTAAGATACGCGGTCTTTCAATTTTATAATGCTTTATTTACATAAGCACGCTATAAATCAATCAGGAGCGTAAACAGAAATTTTCTATTTTCAAAATCACAATTTTCAAATGTATTAATTTATTTTTGATCTGCATAGATGACATCTCAAGTAAATTAGACATTTTAAAATATAAAGATATCTTTTGTATATGAATCTTTCACATTTTGTAACCATGCAAAGTTAAATAATAACTTATAAAACCTCAAAGTTTGTTTGCACAAAAAGCTTGCCACATTTGCTCAGACAGGCCGGAATTTTTTGTTTTTCTCTTAGAAAATTCAGTGACTGCTTACAAAGCTGTACAATGTTCTATGTAGAATTTCCTAACTTACCTGACTTAGGAAGGCTAACTGCAGTACACTCTTGTACACAAGAACCAGTCAATGTAAATTCCTTCATCTCTAAACAAACAAAATAGTAATGAAGTCCTAAATATAAATAATATGGTACTGTATTACACCGACCATGAACCACCATCTTGTTAAATTGTAATGGTATCCTAGATTATTCTTGTACTGTACTGTATTGTACCTGGACATCTTGTAGTTGTACTCTTATCCTAAATATAACTTGTACCATACTGTATCGTACCTGCAGAAACCACCATCTTGTTGTTGTACTCTAATCCTAGATCCATGTACTGTACTGTACTGTACTGTATTGTACCAGGAGAATTGCCATCTTCTTGTTGTACTCTAATTCTAAATATACCTTGTACTGTACTTCATTGTACATGGAGGAACCGCCATCATGTTCGTGTACTCTAATCCTAAATATTCCTTGTACTGTACTGTATTGTACCTGGAGGAACCGCCATCATATTGGTGTACTCTAATCCTAGATCCATGTATTGTACTGTACTGTACTGTATTGTACCTGGAGGAATCGCCATCTTCTTGTTGTACTCTAATCATAATATATCTTGTACTGTACTGCATTGTCCGTGGAGGCAAAGTGACCTGGAGGAACCACCATAATGTTGGTGTACTCTAATAATCATAGATTCATGTACTATACTGTACTATATTTTACCTGGAGGAACCGCCATCTTGTTGTTGTACTCTAATCCTAGATCCATTTACTGTACTGTAGTGTACTGTATTGTACCTGGAGGAACCGCCATATTCTTGTTGTACTCTAATCCTAGATTCTTGTACTGTACTGTTCTGTAATGTATTTACCTGGAGAAACCACTATCTTGTTGTTGCACTCTAATTCTAGATTCATGTACTGTACTGTACTGTACTGTATTTTACCTGGAGGAACCGCCATCTTGTTGTTGTACTCTAATCCTAACTCAAGAATACCAGCATCATACTTTCTCAGTTCCTAATCACCAGTATTTTCCAACATTTTCTCTTTCCAGTGTCAACCAATTTTGACGATACAAATATAGCCTGATATTCACACTTTCCCCGGCCCTATCAGTGTTTATGTGCCGTACGCAATTGATATCTTGCGGACCACATTAGCTCATGGCTTAGCTTGAGATATAAACACATTAGATATCGAGTTGGATCTTTAAGGGATAACAAGGGAAAACTGCAAGTATGTATAGAATTAAGAAGTACGCAGTATAGGTTCTATTCTGTTACGTATTAGGGCAAATAGGTTCATTATGAGGCGCGCTGGAAAATATTAATTTCCTTGGATATTTTGAATCTCAGTCCTGAACTATCGATGATTCCTGTTCTCCTTAAAGGATTGTTGTAATGAACCTCAAGCATCACATACGGACTGAATCCTGGTCCCCCTGTAAATAAGATATAAAGCAATCTTAATTTAAAGGATTAATATAGGACCGAGTTCATTTTCCAGTATCGTCAGTCTATAATATATTTTTTTTGAAGACTTAGAATATAAAAAAAACAGAACTAAAAAATTATCATTCAATAAAAAACATGTCTCGATAACAGATTGTGCTCTACATTTACGTTTTTTAATTTTCTTCTAAATGGGACATCGTTTTCGGGCATTTTCTTTTCTCAGTTATGCATTCTTTCATTCTTTTGACTAAAGGATCTCTTGCAAAAAAGATTATTAAGGAATAATAGAAATACCAATAGCAAGACCAGCATCTGCAGGATAGAGGAACGGACCAGCTCCTAGAAATAACAGTTTATATAAAAATATTGGAATATTTTTTAGAATTTGAAAGTTTTTTCAATTCGAATTTTTCATATTCAGTTTAGACGTTGGTGGTTAATTTGCACCTTTTAAAATCATTTTTTTGCAATACCATTTCATAAAAACATTGTTTAAAAAAAATGAATAATATAAAATGTAATTATAGAAAAGTAAAACTGTTACCAATCGCCCAAGCAGCTAAAACCTTTTTACATCGTTTCAAGATTTCCGGAGCATTCTAAAAGCATCGGTTTCATTTAATTGTGTTATACCTAATATCCAAAGATTACTGAATAGCAGCAAAACATATATATGTTTTTATTCATATGACTTTGAAATGTATATCTTATTTTATACATAAATGTTAATTGTTATATAGTTAACTCTATTAATTTATTTATCTATTTATTTTATTTAATTTTCTTGGACCAAGAAAAGTGTGGGGGGGGGGGCACTTAAAAAAGTAAATAATTCCTAATAACAAAAGTTAATAAGTTTCTTTTATTTTGTCGACATTGATTCTTTTTCTAATTAGTTGTTCACAGATTAGGTGTCTCTGCATTAAAATTTATTTTAGTATAAAAACCTTCGTAGAACAAGAAAATCACATTAAAACAAAGAATTGGATAAAAGAAACAGAGCTGGGGACACTTGTTTTGTGGATATCGAGATCTTCTCTTCTCTTCAATGCTTGATGTCGATCTTTTGTTAATCTGCAGATTTATTTATTCTTTCTTTAATATCCCGCATGTTAAACGTACCATGCAGGGTTGATTAGCGGAGGATTAACATAAATAAAGATGTAGAAAGGTAAATTTTATTGATCCTCAAATTAAAAGTGCGAATAGAGGATTTCAAGATCAAATCAAGATAAAGTAACGGTATTTATGAGTATCCAAAGACAACTATACTCTAGAAGAACATTGATCATAATCCAAAAATATGGATGATAATTATAATTCCAGGAAAGTTTAAAAAGTCTTGAATTAACGGTTTATTTGTGGGTTGTGGGTTGGCAGGGGCGTAGTGGAGGTTTAGCTTAGGGAACGCGGAATTTTTTTTGTGCATCCCCTATAACGGTTGATCTGCACCCTCCGAAAAAACCCGAAAAAGAAAAAAAATAAAGTTTAAAATCTATTTTTACCTACCGAACCTGACTACTAGTCATTTGACCATCAGTTGCGCAACTAGGGGGGGAGCCGAGTTTAGCCCCCCCCCCTCACTTGACTCCAGCATGATCATGATTGTGAACCATCTTTTATCAAAATTTGCCAATTAAGAACAAAATACAAGCATTTTCTTTGGCGCTTCGCGCATCATTTCTAAAAGAATTTCTAACTATTTAATAGTTTTCGACTGAGAGAAAGAAAGTCATTCTTAATTTATCCTCTCAAAAAAAACCTGTTTATATGTTTTTTCTCATCAGTACTTCTCATCTCATAAATATATCATTTGATGTTATAAAAACCTGACAATATAAAAAGATAAACAAGAAATATAATAAGAATTATATAGGACTGTTAGGACTTTTGCAGACTATAAGAGGAAAACAGAGGGAATTCGAACATAAAGATTATTATGAATTATGGACAGACGAAATATTGCCGAGTACTGCCAGGAAGTTAATTTACTACTTAGGAAATGTTTCGCCAGGGGGGCTAACCACCCTATACCCCCCACCACAGCCCCTCAAAATTAAATTTCACTTCTCACAAAAGTGCTAGTTGCGCCACTGCACTTCTGACCATAATTACCAATCATACCATCATAAAATCTAGTACAGTGATAACCAGAAAACTCTGGAATAGGGAGACGACTTTCAGAGTATGACTTTAAATAGTGCAATGAACATGAGACACCACAAGTGTGTGGTGTAAAAAGACCCAAATGACTTAGCAACTGATTTTATAATTTGCTAGATAAACTATTTGCATCAAATACTATTTATTACTGCTTTAATGTCGTCTACCTATTCTACAGTTTTCTGGTTATCTAAAAAAGAGCAGAAAATTTTAAAATTTATTTTTTATTAATTCTTTTTAGTATATCATATCAGTGTCATAACAATATCAATTATATTATGACTAGATTGATTACACTGGAGAGTAGAGACAGTATTGTTTAAAGCTATTTAATGATTCCAAATCTGTATCTTGTGGAGCTTTGTGAGAGAAAAGATATCCCAAAACATTGTTGATAAAATATTTTTCAAATTCAATAAATAGGTCCGGTGGGTGGTGTGTGCATCTACATTATACATATTGATGATGAAGATTGTCCAGATTGTTCAATCCATGGGTTAAAATAATAAAAATAAAAGAATTTTTTGTAAAAAGTTAAGGAAACATGCAGCTGTTTTCAACTATTAAAAAGTTAAGGAAACATGCAGCTGTTTTTAACTATTAAAAAGTTAAGGAAACATGCAGCTGTTTTTAACTATTAAAAAGTTAAGGAAACATGCAGCTGTTTTTAACTATTAAAAAACGGGTTAAAAATAGCATTCCATTCTATAACAAAAAATAATTGAAAGCTATAATAATACTGCCTCCAAATTCCAGAATTCTGGCCCTAGGGGAGGGGAGGCTAGGGTGTGCACAGGGGTTTTGGTCACCCCCCCCCCCCCACTACCCCACTGGGGGTTGGGGTCTTGAAATAAGGAATTGTAAAGGAATAATATAGATTGTAGAATATATATGTAATAATACCTTATCTCCACATTCTCCATTCCATAATGGAAATTCCTGTTCATCTTGACAATGGAAGAGCTTAATATAGATATTATCCATTAAAGAGAGAGGGTATATAGAATATAAAGAATATAAAGAACATCAAAATTGAATGATAGTGATAAAAAAGAATTGATTGCTTTTCTCAAACTCTATTTTTTTAATCCTTATCTTTTACAGATTTTTGATATTTTTAACTATGATTTCTGCTATCGTTTATATTGATAGTGCTTGATATAATACTTTTTTTTGGGGGGGGGGGTCTATCCCTAATACCTCCATATGATGAACTACATCCTCATTTCCGGTAGATATTTCTGCTCCGTATTCAGTTACATGATGTTTCCTAATTTTTTATTAGATTAGATTAGATTAGATTAGGACAGGTACATGTAATTATTTAAATATTTCTGTTCCGTATTCAGTTACATGATGTTTCCTAATTTTAGATTAGATTAGATTAGGTTAGATTAGGAAAGGTATATATGTAATTATTTAAATATTTCTGTTCCGTATTTAGTTATATAGTTGATTTTCAACTAAATCATTCCTCTCTTTTGGATATCCCTGCTGGACTCCAACCAATGAAGACTCTCTCATTGATTGTGTTATAAATTTCTCAATTTCCGATTGGCTGTTCAGTTAATACAAAAGACACTCTGATTGGTTAAATTTTAGACATGTTAAAATAAGAATATATTAATGTGGAAATTAAGAGAAAGAGGAAATTAATCATTTGGTCTCAAAATCCACAATTCTAAAGTTTTCAGCTCAGGTTAGTTTACCTGTTGAAAATGTTTGGAAGTTTAAATACTGAACAGAAGTAAGTTGTATCCTTGCTAGAAATACTCAGGTTATGGTTCGTGAATACCAATGGTTCTGCTCCAGGGTCAGGTATAGTCTAGATATTTCCTTTTTTTACAAACATTGCAAAATTCTGTATTATAGTAATTTATATTTCTAACCTACTTAGTACATAAACTTTGTATATATTGTTTGCTGATGGAAGAGGAGTTTAGTTTTATTTTGTAATATTGACAGCTTTTAAGTAGCATATTATACGAAAGAAATATACTTTATTATATATGGCAACATTTGAAGACTATAGACAAATTCCTGCTGGTGGATTTATCGGTTCTGTCAATATTCCAGAAAGCTGTGCCTTTCGATCACAATTTGACCCATTAAACATAATTTTTTAGCCTTTCTTTATAAATATTTTTGTCGGTATATGCATTTTAAATGAAACAAATCCGTAAGTTAAAAGATTGTTGAATTGTAGACCAAAGCAAGTTTGATTTCGAATAGAAGAAACCGAATGCTGAGTACTCTATGGTTAGTCCGGAGTGTGTTGCATGATTAAACACACTAATTGTAAAACACTAATAATGAGAAAAAAAAATATGGACTAAGATGGCGAGGAAGCATTAATCCAAGGTTGTATAGAAAGGTTAGATGCTCTGGATGCGCTCCAATGTCTAGGTAAAGACGACCTCATCCTCATATCCTCATACATAACGTCACTGCTTCTTTTGAAGAATATTAAATTTTGCAGCTCACATATAAACAAACTCAAAAATTGAAAACTTGAATAAGAATTGCGTTTTTTTAGCTTTAAAATTATAGCACAATCAATATTTGTTAAATGTGACGATTGTTAGTTAAGTATCAGTGACGTCATATGAGGATTTAGAGTATCCATTGCAATAAAGACGACATTTACATCGAGAGTATCTAACCTCATATACAACCTTGCATTAATCTTACTGGAAGGGGATAATTTAACCGTCTTGCTTCGCTGTTTTTCCTTTATTTTAGTCCGTATTGTTCTATCAATCAGAGTTCACAATAATATGTCATTCATACGTACATGTACCTTTCTCTAAATATATAATACTATTTGAAGTGCCAGGCGTTGCCCGTGGAATTAAAAAATCAAATTTTTAAAAAATTGCGAATTTGAAGGGGGAAAAAACTAGAATAAGCGAAGAACTTTATTTATATACTTAGAAGATAAAGTAATAATCTCAGTTTGTCTGTCTGTTTGTTTGTATGTCCGATCATAACTCATAAACCCTATAACCGATTTGCTTCAAATATTTTGGGGGAACTCGGGAGAACCAGGGGAATGTACTTAGCTTGGTTTCGAAATTCTAAATTGAATATGTCCACTTTTCTATAGGAAAAATGCTAAAATTGTAATTTACGACCAAGCGCTAAATTAACTATGAGTTCCCTGAGCAACGCTGCAGGTTCTCAAGCTAGTTCTTTATAAAATAGAATTACCTGAATATCAATGAATCTTGTTCTACTCATCCCAGTCCTTACATTAAAAGAAGAAGTAATATTAAGTCCATCAAGCTTGTAGAGAGGACCCTGACCAATCGCCCAAACTACATGTGTTGTTCCATCCTCTATCCTGTTCAGTTTCTTGGACTCGACATTCATTATTCAAAACTATTTAAACTGTTAACCGAAAAAGAATCTAAAACCGTAGCTTAAAAACATTGCACCCTTATGTGAAAGATTTTATAAGCTGCACGTTAGAGGAACTGAACATTGAACAAGTTTGCCAAAAACTTTAATTTTCTAATCTCTATATCGCTTCGATCCGAAAATTGAAACCTTTTGAAACCTACAAGTAATTGATCTTGCAGAGTTCATAGTTTGAAATATTAAAGGTTTATGACATCAGTTCGCAAAAATATAATGATTAGAAAACTGGAGTTTGTAAAAAATGTTCAGTTTCTTTCCCGAGCAGTTTGATTTTTAAATTCAAACAGAGGAAACATTTTAATCTCCGCGCCCATCCCTGCCTGTAACTCTCTTCATCGCAGGTCCATAATCTTCGTTGGTAAACATACTCAATAGTCGGAACATTATTAAACTCCGAGATATTTCTTAAATTCTTTTTTTTAGATCTCCGCTCTTTAGGTCTCCATTTCATCCCGTGGCAATGGTTTATTGTATCCTCTTTACAGGAATAATATACTAAATTGTTGAAACAAACCCCGTTTTATTCTGGCCAAAGGGTTCGCTACCACGTCAACTTGTGTTTAATCATTAAGGGACTGTGAACGTAATTTCAAGTAACCCTCTATATAAAAAAGTGCATGTCTGATTCACAAGGGTACCCTTTAAACCTTCTTTAGGGGAAAATAATGTATTTCTGTCTGAAAGTTGGTCATTGTTACTCAGATGAAGGGTTAATACAGGGTACCGTTGTGAATCATGCTTCGCAATTTTTAAAAGTGGGTCTTAAAAAGTTTTGTCGCCAGTCCCATCCTGAAATCGATATTTTATAGATGCTTTTTTTACCATTCCAGATTTTGTATATAATCCCTTTGATTAATCCATCTGCAGTAACAGAAACATCTGTGAAGAAGATTTGGCCTGTCCAGTCCCTCCAGAATACACACAGATCTGCTCCAGGTAGAGAACCATAGTCAGAGAACCCAACCCCAACCCAGTCCTCATTAAATAATCATAAAATTAAAACTTCTCGAGATAGAAATCAAAATGAGTGAGAAGAAGTTGAACTGGGAAGGGCTAGTTCAACTACATGGTTACCCACAAACCCTTAGCATCTTTAAATAATTTATTCATAAAGAAGGAGAAGTATAACCTCCAAATCGTCACATTTACTAAGCATTATGTCGTCTTTGAAGTCTCATTCTTTGTGGTTAACCATGTACTGTTGTTCTTCTGTATAGCAGTTTACCAATTTTAATGGATGAAAAAAATGTCATGCCAATTTATTGGTTCTAAAGACACTGTGAAGTCTGTGATGGTCCTAAAGACACATGTGAAGTCTGTGATGGTTCTAAAGACACATGTAAAGTATGTGATTGTCCTAAAGACACATGTGAAGTCTGTGATGGTTCTAAAGACAGTGTGAAGTCTGTGATGGTTCTTAAAACACAAGTGAAGTCTGTGATGGTTCTAAAGACACTGTGAAGTCTGTGATGGCTCTAAAGATACTGTGAAGTCTGTTATGGTTCTAAAGACACTGTGAATTCTGTGATGGTTCTAAAGACACTGTGAAGTCTGTGATGGTTCTAAATATACTGTGAAGTCTATGATGGTTCTAAAGACACTGTGAAGTCTATGATGGTTCTAAAGACACTGTGAAGTCTGTGATGGTTCAAAGACACATGTAAAGTCTGTGATGGTTCTAAAGACACTGTGAAGTCTGTGATGGTTCTAAAGACAGTGTGAAGTCTGTGATTGTCAAAGACACATGTAAAGTCTGTGATGGTTCTAAAGACACTGTGAAGTCTATGATGGTTCTAAAGACACTGTAAAGTCTGTGATGGTTCTGAAGACAGTGTGAAGTCTGTGATTGTTCAAAGACACATGTAAAGTCTGTGATGGTTCTAAAGATCCTGTGAAGTCTGTGATGGTTCTAAAGACACTGTGAAGTTTGTGATGGTTCTAAAGACACTGTGAAGTCTGTGATGTTTCTAAAGACACTGTGAAGTCTGTGATGGTTCTAAAGACAGTGTGAAGTCTGTGATGGTTCTTAAAACACAAGTGAAGTCTGTGATGTTTCTAAAGACACTGTGAAGTCTGTGATGGTTCTAAAGATACTGTGAAGTCTGTGATGGTTCTAAAGACACTGTGAATTCTGTGATGGTTCTAAAGACACTGTGAAGTCTGTGATGGTTCTTAATCCGGACATTTTCAAAAAATTTTAGGAAATTTTGAGATTCACAGCGAGCTATAATCCGGTGTACACTCCTTTATAACTTTATAGTAAAAAATAATAGGATTGGTTTGTTTCTTCCCTTTTTGTAATTGATAACAATATAATAGTTATTTTCTGTAAATTCAGAACAGTAAATGTTTTTGTATCCTTAAATGCTTTGAAACTTTTTATATACAATTTACAAAACGTTTGCTAACAATTTTCATTTTTATGAAAGTCTTTTTCATTAATTTAAGGAACAAGTTTTTTTTCATAATGTAACATAACTGAATAAGTTATCCATAAGTTATCCTAAATCCATAGCTCCGATACCCCACTGTATACGCTCCTGGTATGTTAAACCTTCTTCCTAAAACTTTAAACCTTAAATCTGACCTGGGTTCCAATGTCAGCTTTGATATTTATTGTCGCAACTTCTTGGTCTGTCTTCCAGCTAGAGAATAAAACCAGTTGGACAGTTGTTGAAATATATAGGATAGAACAGAATAGAATATACCAAATTTATAGAGTAGAATAAATATAAAATAAAGAGCAAATATATATATTACGTAGAACAGATATTAAATTCGAACCCTGAAACCGAGTTTGCTGCTAATTAATAGCCCAGGGGGATTAGTTGAAGAAAACTATAGTATTTACGTTAAAATAAGGTAAATAAACTGGATTCTATATTAGAAAATTATCTGTTTACAGGTCGAACAAACACATATAAAAAGTTTAAATGAAAGTCAAAACCCATCAGGAGAACCCCTATTGTATCGTTAAGTTAGACAGGTATAGAAAAAACCTGAGATATTCTGAGACAGTTTGACCTAAGGAAAACTCTGATAGAACTGATATGTCAGCGCTCATTAGAAATGACAGCGCTCATTAGAAATGACAGCGCTCATTAGAAATGACAGCGCTCATTAGAAATGACAGCGCTCATTAGAAATGACAGCGCTTATGTTAAATTATGTTTCTTTATTAAAAGGACATATATTCAAGTGACCCTTCAATTACCGTGTGGTATACCCGTCTCACAACTTCAATATTTGTTTCACAAATCTTGCAGAAATAACATCGTTTTTCTCTCAAAAAATGACTATTTTCCATTGCGGTCTACCAAGTTTTGTGGCAGAGAAAAGGAATGAAATGAAAGCATTCACCACATTTTTAGGATATCTTCAACATTGTTTCATCGATGAATGTTTTCAGGGTATCGTTGTGAATCGGACATGGCACTCCTCAAATAGAGCAGGTCACTTTAAGTTACAACAAAAGTTCATTTAAGTAAACAAGTAATTCAATCATTGCTCATCAATCATCATGCATGATAAAGGATGTCGTTGTAAATATGACACAAAATTCTTGACTGTAAACCTGACGAGAAGAGATTTATCCAGGTGGAGAACTTTAGCAGAGCTAAAGGTAAAGGCTAACAGGAGACAGTGAAGGCAAACCCAGATTAACATACTTCTTGAATATTTTTTAGGTAAAGGACGGAGGAGAATTCAATAGAATTGATACGATGAGTAAAAGAAGAGTAGGATAATTATGCAGGATGAGAAGGAAGAATAGTGAGTGGATAAGAAAGATGAACAGGAGGAGAAGGTTTAACCGGATGATAAGATGAGTAGGGTAAGAATAATAAATAGGATGAGAAGGTTTAGCAGGATGATAAGATGAGTAGGGGAAGAATAATAAATAGGAGGAGAAGGTTTAGCAGGATGATAAGATGAGTAGGGTAAGAATAATAAATAGGAGGAGAAGGTTTAGCAGGATGATAAGATGAGTAGGGTAAGAATAATCAATAGGAGGAGAAGGTTTAACAGGATGATAAGATGAGTAAGGGTAATAATAATAAACAGGAGGAGAAGGTTTAACAGGATGATAAGATGAGTAGGGTAATAATAATAAATAGGAGGAGAAGGTTTAACAGGATGATAAGATGAGTAGGGTAAGAATAATAAATATGAAGAGAATGTTTAGCAGGATGATAAGATGACTAGGGTAATAATGATGAATATGAGGAGAAGGTTTAGCAGGATGATATGATGAGTAGGGTAATAATGATGAATATGAGGAGAAGGTTTAGCAGAATGATATGATGAGTAGGGTAATAATGATGAATAGCATGAGAAGGTTTCGCAGGATGATATGATGAATAGGGTAAGAATAATAAACAGGAGGAGAAAGTTTAACCTGGATGATAAGATGAGTAGGGTTGTAATGATGATTGGGAGGAGAAGGTTTAACAGTATGATATGAAGTGTACGGTAAGAAAGATGAACAGGATGAGAAGGTTTAACAGGATGATAAGATGAGTTTGGTAAGAATAATAAACAGGAGGAGAAGGTTTAACAGGATGATAAGATGAGTAGGGTAAGAATATTAAATAGGAGGAGAAGGTTTAACAGGATGATAAGATGAGTAGGGTAAGAATAATAAATATGAAGAGAATGTTTAGCAGGATGATAAGATGACTAGGGTAATAATGATGAATATGAGGAGAAGGTTTAGCAGGATGATATGATGAGTAGGGTAATAATGATGAATATGAGGAGAAGGTTTAGCAGAATGATATGATGAGTAGGGTAATAATGATGAATAGCATGAGAAGGTTTCGCAGGATGATATGATGAATAGGGTAAGAATAATAAACAGGAGGAGAAAGTTTAACCTGGATGATAAGATGAGTAGGGTTGTAATGATGATTGGGAGGAGAAGGTTTAACAGTATGATATGAAGTGTACGGTAAGAAAGATGAACAGGATGAGAAGGTTTAACAGGATGATAAGATGAGTTTGGTAAGAATAATAAACAGGAGGAGAAGGTTTAACAGGATGATAAGATGAGTAGGGTAAGAATAATAAACAGGAGAAGGTTTAACGGGATTATAAGATGAGTAGGGTAAGAATAATAAACAGGAGGAGAAGGTTTAACGGGTTGATAAGATGAGTAGGGTAATAATAATAAACAGGAGGAGAAGGTTTAACGGGATGATAAGGTGAGTAGGGTAATAATGATAAATAGGAGGAGAAGCTTTAACAGGATGATAAGATGAGTACGGTAAGAATGATGAAAGCATGGATGATGATGAACTGAAAGGTAGGAAGGTTGAGGATGAACTGAAAGGTAGAAAGGTTGAGGATGAACTGTATGGTAGGAAGGATGATGATGAACTGAAAAGTAGGATGGATGATGATGAACTGAAAGGTAGGAAGGTTGAGGATGAGCTTTAAGGTGGGGTGGATGATGAACTGAAAGGTTGGATGGATGATGACGAACTGAAAGGTACGAAGGTTGAGGATGAACTGTAAGGTAGGGTGGATGATGATGAACTGAAAGGTAGGATGAATGATGATGAACTGAAAGGAGGAATGGATGGGAGGATTATATATAAAGTGTTAAGGAATGCTATTATCCTCTATATTAAGAAATAAGAATGGTAGATTCGAGTTTTATTAAAAATAATCAATTCTCTTATATTTCCAGGTTATTCCATCTAAAAAATGGGTTAATATTCATTTCGATAAAATTGAAAAAAATAAAAATTTTAAAATATATATATATATATTTCATATTTTTTATTCAACTACAAAGCACGAGATAATACAAATAAAAAATCACAATTTACTATGTAGTTTGGACCCGCCTAACCAGAGTAGGTTGTTTTAATTGGTTGGCCCACTATAAACGAATGATAATTGCAGATAAAAACAATTGAATACACGGGAAATTATGCGACGAGCTAGAAATTGTTTTGTACTTTAACTACTAAGCAATTTATAAATATTCTCTTATTTTTGGATTTTTAAGATATGTGTCAGCTACTTTCATTATACTTCAATTTAAAAATGTATAAAAAATGAACTGGTTTACGCCACCCCCCCCCCCCCCTCCCTGGTAATAGTTAGGAATGAAACCTCAAAAAAATCCTTATTCCCCTATCATGTGTATTCTCATGTTACGCCCCCTCCTCTTTTAAAATAGGTTGCGGGAAGACTTTTCCCACGATTATACAGCTTATACTTTAATAAAGATGAAAAGTATTTCATCTCAATTGGGGGCAAACTCAAAGTTTACCCAACCATGTCTAAGTGATACTCAGGGGGGGGGCAAGAGGTCTGCGACCTCCCCCCCTTTTTTGAACTATAACTGAAACATTCATTATAAAAGTTCGAATGATTACTGTCTTGTAAGGAATTTATTTTTTGCATAATTAAACAACTTGCAGGTCTAATATTTCATTGCACAGAAGGGTTTAGGTCACTCCTGTGCTTTCCATATAATTCAGAAATGATAATTGATTACTGATTAGGTCTTGTCGTAAACTATTGTACAGCAGGGATTATAGGTCATCATCTAATATACTGTCCTTTCTCTTCATGAATAAAGATGTCGCCAACATGTCTAGGTTTTCCAATGCCTCCTACCTGACTTCTTTAAATGGGCCCTGGTAACTATTACCATTAACATTTTTAATATGAATTAAAATTCTTAAAACGCTCTCGATTTTTGGAATTTTCAAGCATTGTATGTACTGATTTAAAGTAAGTTATATTTTTAACCTTTAAAAAGAAAGTCCAGGGTTCACTATACAAAAGACTACTAAGGTTACATTGCCCTAAAGCAATATTTTAGGGTCCTACAGTGTAAAACGTTAAAAAAGTATTTACTTTTATTCATATTAATTTATAAAATTTTTTAAAAAACATTTATTAAACAACATTTTTGCTAAAAAAATATCCCGGGGTCCCTAAGCATAATGGCCGGACCGGTACAAGTGGCGCTATCCTGGCGCCGCCTGCTTCAGCAGCTGAAAGCTCGGCAGTCATCACTAGCGCCAGCGCCTCTATGGAGCCACCAAAGAAACGCAAATTCTTTTCAGATAATCTGGAGAAGGGCGTTTCTGTGGGCCATGGCGTGGCACTAGATCATGTCCAGTTTGAAGCTAGTGTTCCTAGTAAACAGGACATTCCTGTTTTCTCAGCAGGGCTACTCGAACAGCAGAATATAGTGAACAGCAGTGTTGGTGGAGGGGAGGTTACAGCTGCACGGAGAAACAGGAGAAAATACAGTGTGGATTTCAAGGTAGATAGTTAGAGGAGATAGAGGGTGTTCAGTTAATTTGCAAGCGCTTACAGAGGTTTTGTGAGGGGTGGGGGCAGGGGAGGGGCTTTAAGTCAGAAATAGTGGATTTTATAATTTTAAGCTTATAGGATAAACATGGAAGTGGGGGGGGGGGGTCTCTAGATAAAATTTTTTGGACCCCCGCCCCCTCCCCCCTCCTAACAAGACTATTTTTCAGCAAAAATATTATTTATTTTTATATTATTTTAGGGTTAGGTTAGGTTAAGACACTTTTTGGCCGAGCGCTGCGACTATAGAACAGGCATGGGGGACCGAGCGCTGCGAGGACAGGCTAGGGGCCCGGGCGCTGCGGCTACATGACCAACTTTATCCATGTGTTCAATATGAGATGCATGAAAATTGATTGGATTTGTGGGGGGGGGGGGTGTCGTTATCTAGGAAATTACCCATGGGGTCCGGCTAATTTCTTGAAAACATGGTATTTTATTAAGATTTTAGAAAAAATATTATTATAATAAGATTTCTAGAAAACATGAAATTTTATCAAAATTTCTAGAAAACATACTATTTTATCAAGGTTTCTAGAAAACTGGGTTTTTATCGTGATTTCTAGAAAACATAGTATTTTATTAAGATTTCTAGTCAAACATGCTTTTTATTATGATTTCTATAAAACTGGGTTTTTATCAAGATTTCTAGAAAACATAGTGTATTATCAAGATTTCTAGAAAACATGATATTTTATCAAGATTTCTAGAAACTTGTTTTTTATTAAGATTTCTAGTAGACATGCAATTTTATTAAGATTTTTATAAAATATGGTTTTTATCAAGATTTCTAGAAAGAAATATTCAGGTATCATATCTAGGTTTCTATAGAACAAAGTATTTATCTAGGTTTCTATAAAATAAAGTATCTATCTAGGTTTCTATAAAATAAAGTATCTATCTAGGTTTCTATAAAATAAAGTATCTATTTAGGTTTCAATAAAATAAAACATCTAGATTTCTATCAAATAAAGTATCTATCTAGGTTTCTATAAAATAAAGTATCTATCTAGGTTTCTATAAAATAAAGTATCTACCTAGGTTTCTATAAAATAAAGTATTTATTTAGGTTTCTATAAAATAAAGTATCTATCTAGGTTTCTATAAAATAAAGATCTTTCTAGGTTTCTATTTAAATAAATTGAATAAAGTATCTATCTAGGTTCCTTATGAAAGTAAAGTATCTATATCTAGGTTTCTAGAAAGAGAAGTATCTATATCTAGGTTTCTATAAAAAGAATCATCTATCTAGGTTTCTGTTCTGAACGGGTACTACAATGACCCTGAGACGAGATACAACCAAAGAAAAACCGCAATAAAGTACGGGATCAACAGACGACAGATACAGAAATGGTTAGCTCAAGAACCGTCCCTTAGAGGACAGTCAGAGGAACCACATCTGTCAATCCAACTGCCACAGCAGCTGTCAGCCCAACTGTCGCAGCTGTCACCTCATAAACGACTGAAGGCAGACGACAGTTGTTCAGAGAAAGATCGGGTATGTTTTTTGTTCCTTTGTTTCGAATGTTAAAACAAGATTTTTTTAGTAAGGAAGAAATATCTTTGAATGTCGTCTTAGTGTTGAGGATAACTTGAACCAAACCTCATTTCACAGAAAAAAAGATTAAGCTGTTCTTCCTGTTCAATATGTTAAATTTCTATCAATCTTGATTCTACTAATGTTATGTTACTGTTATGCAATTTATTCTAATCAACTTAAGCTGCAGTACTTTGCTTAATTGTACTGTAAAGTGTACCTTTACCATATACTATGCATATCGTTTTCAAGTCTATACGTATGCTTAAAAAATCCACTATTTATTAAAATGTTATTTCTCTGACACTTTGTTTAATATTTTGGGATTTATATTCTAACGTTGTCTCTTTGCAGGACGAATATATCCCAGGAGCTCTGATCATTCTGGAACCGGAGACAAGAATTAAAACCGAGGATGAGTTCTCACCTGGGTCGGAGAATAGGTTCTCCAGGTCAGAGGTTATGCTCTCAAGATCGGAGGACAGATTTTCGAAGTCGGCGGACCGGTTTACAAGGTTGGAGGACAGATTTCCACGGTCAGAGGACAGATTCCCACAGCCGGAAGATAGGTTCCCAAGGACCGAGGACAGATTCCCACGGACCGAGAACAGGTTCCCACTGTCGGAGGACAGATTCTCAAGGTTTAACATGAGACCTGAGGTTCAGGATGAGAAGGATGATGAGGAGGAGATTAAACCTATAAACCTGAGCAGGGGGAGTAATCAACCTAGACAGGTAGGATTAATTTTTCTTTCGATTAATGGACTATTCACGTAATTAATTAAGTCACGCTTTATTAAAAAAGATGTCTGATTAACAACAGCACCCATTCTTCATCTAAGTGGCATTGAGAAACATGTTTTTTTATAAAGAAGGGTTGAATTCTGTTAATTTGCTTCAACGTATCAAAAGCATAAATCACAATAAAAAAAAGTGTTCAGCAAAATGAATATTTCATTTATTCTCGGTTTAAAGTTACCATTGTGAATCGGACATGCTACTCTTAATGTAGGGTCTTCCTAAATTACGTCTAAAGTTTTTATATTCCCGCAATCATACTAAAACAAAACTAATTGCTCTTTATTATCTCATAATGAACGTTTTTAATGCCACGTAGAAACTCGTGAAACAGGAAAAGATGACAATTTTCGTGGTAAAGCTTAGATTATAAATTAACAATATCTAAAAGTAAATTTTATTGTTACCAATCCCCAAGTTATTAAAGTTATGAGGAAAACCATTGTATTTTTATGAATGAAGGAAAACATTCTTAAAACAAAATTTTTTTAATATTTCAGAATTTTATAAAGTTGGAAATAGTTTGCTAAAGTAAATGGCCGTGGTAAATTAAGTTTTAGTCTAGAGCATATTATATACAAGGTTACCTATAAAATATGGGACGAGACGACCTAAAACTCTTTGAATATTTCCAAATAGAGGTTTAATTTTGCTTGCTGCATTAACATATATTCTTTGGAAGTGAAGACATTGTACAGCTTCAGGGGAATCAACTGAATGTAAGAACAAAGACTGAATATATCCCGTACAGTCTCATTAATCGGGGGTAACCCTGTATTTTATATTTCTAATTATCATTATTTCTTCTTAAAAAAAGTTGTCAAGTATAAAGATTATGGATTGTATAAGGTAAAGACCAGTTTATGAAATGGATAAGATAACTTAAAAAGAGGGATAAAGTCACAAAAAAATACACAAGTTACAGAAACTATCTAAATAGAGCCAGCTTTAGCGCACGATTTTGACACCTTTTAACTTTTATTTTCAATTTTAAAAGGAATTGAGGTTTTGCCACAAGCATAAATTTTCCAATCCATAAATCTCAAAAACATAATTATGTAAACCTTTGATATTTTAAACTTACACTTCCTATGAGCTATCAGTATTTGTAGTTTGAAATATCAAAGATCTACGAAATAGGGGATGTAAAAATAAAAGGATTAGAAGATCAGAGTTTGTGGCAAAAACTCAATTCCTTTCTTCAGTATTTAACAATTTGAGGTTAAAAGAAATGTCCATAAATGATTGGTCACTAACCAGAGACAGTTCTTTTATTATCATCTGGAGTTTAAGCGACCTACTGTTGGCTATACCCAGCTAACCGATGAGATTTATAAACACCCATCCGATCAGACTGTTCAAAAGATATCAGTCGAGATCTTACATTTTTCATTGAAAAAAGAGATAAAAAGATATGTGTAGATATATTAAGTTAGAGAGAGGGAGATAGACATATAAAGATTGAAAGATAGCAAGATAGACAGTGAGCTATAATGTAGGACTGACATACAGGGTGAGAATCATTATATTGGATTTTCATTATACCAAGGAAGATTAATCCTCCTATCTTTGTTAACATAAATAAATAAATTAACTAAATGCTACTTAGGCTACATTTTTTATATTCTGCCGGAAAGTGGAGTATTATCAATATGTATATGGCGTTTCATTGTGTAAACCTTTTTTCTCCAAGCTTTCCTGCAGAAATATTTGAAAATGGATTTATTTGTATTGGAAATATTTTTATATTTATGAAGTAATTTATAACCAAAGATTTTCCTTTCCGTTCTGAAAATTAAAGTTTAAAGCTATGCACAATTCCAAATGATGTGGTTCACCCTGTAGCTAATAGATGCAGGGTAAGATAAGACCTGAAACCTACCTGATATTCTGGTTTCAGTCCTACTCTGGGTATCTTCTTATACACAGGCTCATACACAATAAATAGGTAGTTTCCTATATCTGAGCCCAGTTTACACCCTGCTTTGGTTTAACAGTTTAACTTAACATTTTTATTTTAGATCAAAAAGACTTTTAATTTTTCCGTAAAATGTTTATTAACAAAATGTGTCAGGGTTTTTAGTAGGATTCGACTTTAATTAATTTAAACGAAACCAAGTAAATTAGTTTTTTCTTTTTCTGTTTTTTTTTAAGCTTTCCTTCTGAAATTGATTTATTATTTGTTATTAATCTTTCATTCCACTTTGTTATGAAAGGATTTTTAAATAAAAATATTTCCCGCCATAATATGCAAACATTTTAAAACCTTTTAGAAATGGGGAAAATATAAAAACCACAGAAGACTCAATCAAGGAGAAACTTTTCACATTAAAAAATTTGTTTTCAAAGATAATCAACTTATATTTGTTTCTTTTAAAGCATAAAAATGTTGGAATTAGGATTTATAAATCAGAAAGGAAGTTTTTTCATCTTTGTTTCTTCAGTGATCCTTCTCCTATCCTGTGTAGATGCTACTGCTAAGGTTTATCTCATTATAGGTTTAGGTTTATTTTTAGGTTTAGGATAAGGTCAAAGTGTAGGTTAAGATTTAGGTTTAGATTAAGGTTAAATTTCAGGTTCAAGTTCGGAATAAATTTTGGTCATGGTTAATGTTAAGCTTTAAGTTTAGGTTCAGGTTTAGGTTCAGGTTCTATAGGCTGGTTAATGTTAAGCTTTAAGTTTAGGTTAAGGTTCAGGTTCTGTATAGACTAATTTCAGTTAAGAGTAGATTTAGAACTATTAAAAGCGTTCAGATCAGATGTAGATATTGCTTCATAATGAAAATTATCCTTGAATATCGACCCCGTCTTAAGAAATTTAAAACGAACCAAACCAACCATTATTTTAAGTAAATTTTGTGTCAAAAAATATTTTTTTTATTGTTTCACTTATTAACAAAAAACAGCTTTGCTTTAGTTTAGCTGCATCGTATAAAATAAACTGTGTAAAGCAAATATGCAAGTTTGGACGCAGAAATTACAGGTTGTTAGAGTCTTCTTTTTGTGTTTTGACCTTAAAATTTTGAGCTAATCCAATATAATATGGGACGCTCTCTATAAAATTATTAGGAAATGTAGTAGCAGAAGGATATTCGTTTAAGAATTTAAAGGTATTTTAACGTAATTTAAACCGATCTTCTAGTCTTTGCGTAATATTTTTCTGCTTGGACCCATAATAAATAAATTTTCGAATCCAGATTGGCAAATTTCATATTCCCGGGCAAAGTCGGGTACCCAAATTAATTCTTCTTAAATCTTCTTTATACTAATTCATTTAAGATTGAGGCTGAGGTTGAAGATCAAAGCATGTTGAACGTGAGCATAACGAGGACTCATCCTGACCCTCTCTCTACCCACATCCTCGACACAACCACAGGGTTGCCGGCCAGGGAGGTCGAGGTCTCCCTCTTCAGGATGGGCGGGGCAGGAGGGGGCGGGCCCAACTCTTCATGGATGCAGATAAATACCAAGTAAGAATATTAGAATCGTTTAAAAGGTTGGATTGGGAGAAAAAGTTAAATTTTTCTTCAAGATCTAAATTTGACTACGAAAGTTTATGTTAGATTTGTAAAAAAAGTTTAATTTTCTAATCATATCTTTATTTTTTATTTTTCTCTCTATGGCGCTTTATCATTTCACATTTGTTTCTTCTCAGATTTCCTAATTTCTGTTTTTGTTGTTGTACTTTTTAAGTTTACTTATAAATCCGATGTTTTTATCGCGATCTTTGAGTTCTTCCATTTTCTTCTCCTTGTAAAGAGTAAACCATGTTAATAAAATCTAAGTAGTGTCCTACATTCTGTAGTTAAATGAATGTTAATGGTTTCCTCTCGCGAAAAGAAAAACAAGAAATTTGTAAGAAAATTTCCGCAGTAAACTTAAATATTAACATTATTAAGTTGTCAGATAGGAAGGACTTGCATTTCAATCATAGTTTGGTTGATAAACATAAAAAGTTTTTTCATAAAAAATATCTAATTTTACGACTCTTGCATTTTTTTCTGGCGACAAAAATTGTTTCTGTGATTTAGAATTTGAAAAAATTTTAAAATCATTAAATTAAACCAGAGCTGAAAACTTTGGAATGCGATATCCTTAATCCCGATCTGTTAATTAATCTGGAGATTAATATCATGAGGAGAACAAGCAATATTTTATCTGGAGATAAAGAAAAAGAGGAAATCAAGCATTGATCTTGACATCCACCATTCTAAAGTTTTCAGCTCATTTCACTTTGGAATCTTTAATTCTGAATTCTAAATATTTTTCGTAAATCTTATTTTTCTCCATTAATAAAGAGGCAAATCTGATTCACTCCGGTACCCTGAAAAGTTTTGTCTGATAAAGAATACATTAGATATCCATGATTTGTCTTTTTCAAATTTTGGTTTCTCTATAAAAATGATTGCGGATTTCTTGTTACAAAAACAATAGAGAAAATAAACACTTTGCAAGGAAGATAAAAGACGATAGCTTTCACAGTTTTGGTTAGATAAGGATTTAAAATATACTGTTGTGAATCTGGCATGCCCCAATTAAATGAAATGTCACTGGACAACGACAGTCCGTGTAAGATTGAATTTTTTATTAAATTTTTTGTATTACATTGTATAATTTGTAGGTCGACTAATGAGGACGGACGGAGCTCCGGGTTTCTCAGCTGGGAGAATTTCCATCCTGGAACCTACAAGATGTTTTTCAATACTGGAGCTTACTTTGCCAAAACCAACACTCAATCTTTTTATCCCTTTGTTGAGGTAACATAAATTTCTTGTATTATTCAGGGTCGGGGGATTAAAGGAAATTAAATATTATTAGGATTTAACTCTGTTTAGTAAAAAGTTTCTGCTTTGAGTGTTAATTTACCTTTGATCATTTTTCGTGTTAAAGATCAATAAAACTAGAAAGATTTGCGGATTTTCCTGATTATATATTTATTTGTTTATTACACAAACTTTCATATTTCGCGAACACACCCTTTAAATTTTCAAAATATTTTAATGAAAACAAGATTTCTTTACTCAGAATAATAATATAATAAGCTTGTGACTAATATATTTTACATCTTCAAATATTCGGTTTTGCTAAAGATTTCAAACTTTCGAACAATCCGATTTAAAAGTTTATCGTCCATAAATATGAACAGTGTGCAATACAAGACATATAATTTTCCAAACTTACCTTGTAAAATCCTGTATGTGAATTATGTTTACTGCTGAAGAGAAATGGCAGATTTTGATAAATCATTGATAAAGCAATATCTCTTTCTGGGAACTATATATTTAAAATATCCTAGACACACAAAACAAATACTTTAATTTTATTTTTCAAATATGTCGATCCATGATAAAATTAACGAGTATGGGTTCATACCATTTGCTAACGGTAGATGTCAAAGTCTACTACAGTTAACGAGTATGGGTTCACACCCTTTGCTAATGATGAATGTCAAAGTCTACGTCAGTTAACGAGTATGGGTTCACACCCTTTGCTAATGGCGGATGTCAAAGTCTACTACAGTCAACGAGAATACATTGTTACTTTTGCTGAATCAATATGTTTTTATAAGTTCAATGAATGCATTTCTGAAAATGTTTTGATTATTTGAGTGATGACTAATTATCTACTTGTAAATGCACAATTAGTGTATATTTAGTTGAGATTTCAATATGCATACTTTGTTTCAACAAAAACAATCAAACAAAATTATCAAACATTATATTTTCAATTGGCTCATAATAAATTTTCTTTTGTGGTTTATTTTAAGCTGAACCATCATACATTATTATTTTGTATTTTGTGTTTGAAAATAAATACTATAACTATAACTATAACATTGGCTCAATTTTTTTGTTATGTAAGCCGAGATTTTTTAAGATCCTTTTTTAATATTTATTTTGAAATTTTCTTTAAACATGGGATTGAACGAAAATTAGAAATAATAAACTAACAATTTAGTTATTGTTCTTAGTCTATCCTATCAATGTCAACATGGACACAAGCTTGTAATCTATCAATGCCAAACCAATGGGCACGATCTCGTCAGCTATCAATATCAACACGGACACAAGCTTGTAATCTATCAATGCCAAACCAATGTGTATTTACAAATTTATTTTACATGTTTAGTTCTTATACGTATTTACAATCGCAGATATATATCATCGTAGTCAAGCTAATCACAATAATTACAATACGTAGCTGCATTACAAGTTTTGCGTATTTGAGGATTAACGCAGTAAGATTTACAGACAATGTACAACGCAATTTATCAAGGTGTGTTCAAACTGTATTTATTACATTCTAATATTGATATAATTTTGTTTTAGGTCGTATTCGAAATCCGTGATCCTTCAGCGCATTATCATATTCCTCTTCTCCTGAATCCCTTTAGCTACACAACATACAGGGGATCCTAAAATCTACACTGCACAATTGTAATTCAGGGATCTAGTGAATCAACTTGGGACTAGTATATATATACGTGTTTCAGAGAGTCCTTCTGAATCATGGGAGTGTTTAGTGACGAATGTAAATTCCTAGTTCACCATGCAATTTTTTACATAAGGATATGTGACTGTTTTTCTTATTGCAAATAATTGTCTAAATTTTGAAAGAAGAAAGAAAATTTGTAATCACTGTTTGATGCAAACCTCTTTAATTTTGGAACTCCCTGTCTCCTTAATCGTGTGCTAGGAGCATGTTTATTAACCAGCCCTGTAAAGTAAATCCATGGAAGGATTTTCTATATACTAGTATGAGCTTAAAGGGTTCTAATATCCTAATCTATTGTGAAGAATATTTACACACTATATATAAATTATATCTATATCAACAATGTTTTCCAAATTTCTTAAATAAACGTTAAAACTAAATATGTCATTTTCTTAGTGATACATGTTATTTACTAGTTGTTATTTCACGCAGCTATTGGGAATTATTAATTAAGCTTTTGTTTGTTTTCCATAAAAAATGTCGAAATAACGGGAAATTAAATAGGGCTTAAAGGGACTGTTGAGGAAATATGAAAGAGGGTGTAGGTTGAAAGCTAATCACTTTAGCTCTTGATCAGGACCAATGAAACATCCATCTGAAGTTCCTGTCTCGAGAAAACTGTGTCAAAATTTTACCAAAACTCAAATATGTGAGATGTCTGTATCACGTGACAATAATACTGCACTGCCATTGGTTGAAGTTCTGATCACGTGATACAGACGTATATATAATAAAAAATAAATGATACAGACAGAGACATGACTGCACTCTCATTGAATGGAGTTCTTGTGACGTAATATGGACTTCTAAACAATATTATCAATTATATCATCAAATATAAAAAAAAATTTATGATAATAATTGGAGAAAACCTAAGTTACAATTAGCTTCCTCTGGAATATCTTCGTTTTCTGATTGGTTGCGTATTTACTGAATATGATCTGTTTAAACTTTCAGTCAAGAGCTAAAGTGATAAGCTTTCAGTCTAATATCCCCTTTCATTTTTCCTTTACAGTCCATCTTACTCGTACTGGCTATTAGAATAAGAAATCCAATTTGAATCTGTCTTTGGCCATAGCGTAACAGACCTTGCAAACATTAATATAAATAAAGTCAAATGAAAAGTGTTCTGTAGGTTTTGAAAGAAATATAACTCGTAGCAGGAGCTCTAAGCGTGTCTTATTCCTTCTAGAAATGTTTAACATTTCATGATTCTGAATATTAAAATTCTTCAATTTTGCGATGTTTAAATCTTCGTAGAACATTTTAAATTCATATTTGGCTCTTCTTCTTTTCAGGTTAAATGTAAACAAAGGAATTAACTTTTTGCCCCCCCCCCCCCCCAACTCTGATTTTCTAATCCCTCTTTCTTTGTAACTCATTGTTGTAGACATTTGATATTTCAAACAATAATTTCTTTTAGATCAAATAGTGTAAGTTTGAAATATCGAAGGTTATTATAATATTTGAGTTTGTGGCAAAACCTGAATTCCTTTCTTATTTTGTTCACTAAAAGGGAAATAAATAAAATATCTATCAAGAATAAAGAACGGTTCATTTTCCACCAAATCACAGATCATTTTTCTCCTCTTACTTTTCTATTCTATTGATATCCTTGGATAGGTTCTATACGTCATGTTAAAGAGCAATATGTTAGATATTTAATCAAATAATTTATTAAAAAATATTCCCCGAATCTTTTATAAAGCATCACAATGTCCTCCCGGCCCAGTAATATCTAAAATGGGCAATTTAAAAAAACTCGGACATTTCAAAATAATTTCCCAATAAAAAATAGGGATTTTCAACTTTAAAGCAAAACAATTTTAGATTAGTTATGTATGATCAATCACTTCCTTGGCTGGTACTCAATTTTCATTTTATATTCTTTTTAAAACAATTTTTTGTAATTTTTTATACTTTTAGTAGTTTTGCCCTGATAATCCCAGATTATCTAAATGGAATCTTTAAAAAAAAACTTTTTCCATGTCGTCACTCGTCATTACATACACCAAAGCGCTTAAACTTGAATATCAGCCTAAAATGTCATCATTAAAATCTGTCAATTAAAAGTTAAAAAAATGTTTGTCAGGAAAATTCGTGATATTTCTTTCTAGTTTAAAATTTTAGTTTTTCATTGCTTTATCCTGCTGTATTTTTTTGTTCTTGAAAATGGTTGGAAAATTTGTTCTTGAAAATGGGAAGAAAGGAAACTTTGAATCACATTCATATTATACGTTTATGAACTTCATAAGAATCGAATGGTCTTAGTTGGACGCGTGCGTAAAAACAAATGTGTTGTACTACTATTGTATAATTTTTAGCGCACGCTAATTTAACAGTTCGGACCTTGTCCCAGCAGGCTGTGACTTACGATCGCAATTTGGCCTAATAAACATTTCTTTCGCCCTTTCTCTATTATACTTTTTGGTCGGAATGGTTGCGTTTTAATTGAAAATATACAAGACGATTCTGAATTGTTTAAAGAGACAGACCGACTATGTAAGGCAGTTGAACTGAGTATGCAGTGTTGTGGACAAATTCTTTAGGATTCATTTGAGACATATAAAATGTTTCCACGATGTATAATTACTGAGTTTGCGCGCAAAGTCGAAGTTCAAAATCATAAATTTGGATGGGTACATTTTTAGAATCGGGTTTTTTCAATTATCAAATAACGACGACGAAAAATATAGTAAAAATTTTACAGTAAACTTATTAGATGGTTAGGAACATATTTCTCGAAAGAAATTTGTCAATAAAACGAAGTTAGAATGAATTATTTCCTTTTTCATCATTATATCGAATTTCTTATTTCTATGAATTTGTTCGCAGATTTCTATAAATTCTTCAAATGTCGTCTTTCAATTAAAAATTCCAGAAAATCTGCGTGATTAAAGAGAGATTATAGAAACTAATAATTGATTAAGATTACTTATTTTCGATGATGAGTGTTAATTTTTATTTTCTTAACCTGTTCCTAAACAACTAATTATAGTTTACTGTAGAATTTTGTTTAATTTTTATGTCGTCGTTATTCAATAATTAAAAAAAAAAATTCTGAAAACAACGTATCCACCCAAAAATACGATTTTGAACGTCGACTTTGCGCGCAAACTCAGGATTTACAGATCTTTAAAAAGTTTTATTTGTCTCAAATGAATCCTAAAGAATTTGTCCACAACACTGCATGCTCAGTTTAATTACCTTACAATTTCACTTTGATGTTAAAAGATATTAAGGAACAGTATAGTTCCACATTAGCGTCTGATCCAATCAGGGTTCACTCACATGTTTGATGAGTACTCACTTATAAGGACCAATAGAATTGCAAAGGCGGTAAGATCTATCTATCTATATGGCTATTCAAATCTGCCAATTAGAGATCCATATGTAAATAAGCGCAACGACTAAATGGATTATTTACTTATATCGGAATTGAGGTGAAAGGGTACCGTTGTGAATGGGGGATGTACCTCTTTAAATGGAAGGAATTTACGTTTACAGAACATTCATGCCAAAAATAATTAGTTTAAAGCAAAGTATGAATATTGAATACTAAGTGTGTTGTAAATTATTTTAAGTTGCAACAGAATGCCTGCATTTCTGCAACTCTTATTTGTTGAATTAGATCAGATAAGTACAGGGGGCGGAAACGCCATGTGTGTGTGTCTGTACCAAAAGAGTGTGTGTGTGGAAGGAATACCGAACCGAAGGCGTGTACTGTAGGTATATACAGTACATACGAATCTCGGTATTTGTACAGACTAGGAGAGTACATTTGTTTATTGCTAATTGTTTACTAAAAAATAAGTTTAATATGCATGTATTTATATATTTAAGTCAACACTTTAAGCCAAATTTTCATGCAAAGAATATGATTTGATTAAAGTTTGCAATAAACAAGTCGTTATTTAAGCTTAATTATAATTGACAACATTGTTCTGCAATTTCTTTGACTGTAGTCATGTTGTGTGTCTGTAGTAAAAGAGTGTGTGTAAGGAATATCAAACTCGTCTGCAGAGCAGTGCGCCTGGCTTTCTCATGCCAGACCAGCGCCATTTCCTTTCCCTTTATTCCAATTCCCCTGGAAAAGTACCAGACATGTTTCTAATTTGTATTGTTTAGCTTGTCTCTATTCTGCAGAATATGCAGAATATGCAGAAATTAGATAAACTTTCACCCTTGATATAAAGTTTACTAGTTATACCAGGTTTGTTTAATGTAGATTAATTATACTACAGGGTGGTTCGGAAAACATACATTCGCCAGAAAAAAACGCTTTGTTTATATTTTTACGATTTAGAACTAACCCCGTTATGGACTCGTTTTCCTCTCGGAAACAAAACTCGTGTATTTCCAAAAAACTAACTCAAAAGGAAATGCCAAAAAATTGTCTAATTTCAGATCAAAAGCTGCCCGCCCTTCAGTTAAGACTTGTTCGGTGATGGTCGTCCCAAGGGTCTATGTCATAGAAACACTTTCGGAAGAATTAAATCTTGAGCATCTTACACCAAAATGTACTGTACTGCAAGTACAGTTATAACTAGTACAAAGCGGAAAAGAAGTCGTCTTTGCCAATTCTTTTTATAATAAACAAATGTTATAACAATTAATGTACAATATTCGGATCCCATTTTCAGAGTAATGATACAAGTTACAAACAAATCATTGGCTTTACTTCCTACAGAAATATTTGAAGAGATTCAACTTTTATTTAATTTTACACTCTGATACCGACTTTTCTATTGTTGTACTGGACTGTAGGGTTTGGTTCGTTTGGTACACCATGTGTAGAGAAGAGTAAACTTTTCTCATTATTTTCTAAATATATTTACCAGAAGAGGTTAATGGGGGAATTTGTAGCTACAAAATTTACCCAATTATAAAAAAGAACGCCATAAAACCTTACTAGACAGCTTTAGTATTCGTGAGAAAACAGTTTACAATACAGTTTACGATAATTCTATCTGTGTAATCGGTGAAACAAGTTAAATAAATATCTGCGTAATTTGAGAAGCAAATTATCAAACTATCTGTGTGATCTGTGAGTGTACCGCAGCCTGGTGTAGAATAATTAATTTTAATTTTCTTCCTTCAGCTGCCACCCGGTGTCTTCTTGACAAATCGGAGAGAAGCCAAATTATTCATTTTTCTCCCGAAACCCGGAAACTTTTTGTTGACATGCATCAAGGAGAAGACAAATCGTTTTCTCACAGAGCTACAAGCAGGACCTGGAGATAGTAGTCTCAGTGAAACCTTACATATATACATTATACAAGCAGGACCTGGAGATAGTAGTCCTAGTGAAACCTTACATATATACATTATACAAGCAGGACCTGGAGATAGTAGTCCTAGTGAAACCTTACATATATACATTATACAAGCAGGACCTGGAGATAGTAGTCCTAGTGAAACCTTACATATATACATTATACAAGCAGGACCTGGAGATAGTAGTCTCAGCGAAACCATACATATACACCTGGAGATAGTAGTCTCAGCGAAACCATACATATACATTATACAAGCAGCACCTGGAGATAGTGGTCTCAGCGAAACCATACATACACATTATACAAGCAGGACCTGGAGATAGTAGTCCTAGTGAAACCTTATATATACATTATACAAGCAAGACCTGGAGATAGTAGTCTCAGCGAAACCATACATATACATTATACAAGCAGGACCTGGAGATAGTAGTTTCAGTGACACCTTACATATACATTATACAAGCAGGACCTGGAGGTAGTAGTCTCAGTGAAACCTTACATATACATTATACAAGCAGGACCTGGAGATAGTAGTCCTAGTGAAACCTTACATATATACATTATACAAGCAGGACCTGGAGATAGTAGTCCTAGTGAAACCTTACATATATACATTATACAAGCAGGACCTGGAGACGGTAGTCCTAGTGAAACCTTACATATACATTATACAAGCAGGACCTGGAGATAGTAGTCCTAGTGAAACCTTAAATATATAATATACAATACAATTAAAATAAAGACTAAAGACGGCTGTCCAGTGTCCACATTATATTTGTCGACTCTTTTGGTTTATTATCCAATAAGTGAAAAGAGGGGAATGCAAGTGTTGCATTTTAATTGAATTTGAAAAAAAACTTTAAATGATGAATGTGTGAAATTATTACTGACAAACAAGACTCAATCAATATATAAATTTGGCTTGTCTGTCTGTTTGTTTGTATCCAATAAACGTCAAAACGGCTGAACCGATCGGGCCCAAAACTTTTGTGGGACATCACGCAACCACAGGGAAGGTTTATGAATGATCAAAATTTCAAATATTTGTCTCCATCAAAATTCGATCTTCATTAAATTTTTGAAAATTTTGAAAATCCACGAAATTTATTGTGAAAATCCGCGATGTTTTGTTTTACGATGTACACAAAGAGAACATGTTCACAATTAATTTTGAAGATGGGCGCGAAGCGCCCTCTAAGGCTATTCTACATATAAATTTGGCTTGTCTGTTTGTTTGTATCCAATAAACGTCAAAACGGCTGAACCGATCGGACCCAAATTTTTTGTGGGACATCTAGGGACCCCAGGGAAGGTTTATGAATGATCAAAATTTTAAATATTTGTCCCCATCAAAATTCGATCTTCATTAAATTTTTGAAAATTTTGAAAATTTTTTGTGAAAATCCGCGAATTATTTTTGTTTTGTTTTACGATGTACATAAAGAGAACATGTTCACAATTAATTTAGAAGATGGGCGCGAAGCACCCTCTAAGGCTAGTATTATACAAAAGGGTTAAATATCTTTTATAATTCAATTTCCTATTTCAGAAATCTCAAATAAGCTGGGTAATGGAATTTAAGTATTTGGAATACAATGTGCATTGTTAACTGTACAGGTTGATTATCAAGAAGTTTGTTTATCTTCTCTTTATAACTTGACAAGATCCTGATCATAACTTTCCCAAGATTAGAGTTAAAACAAAGATGCATGTTTTACAGATCCACTCCTCCATTGCATTTAGGGAATGATATTTTTAGGGATGGGGGGGGGGGAGGTTTTTACGCTGTCACATGTTTGAACCATATGAAAGGTTGGGAAAATTGAAACACATGAGATGAGAAAAGATATTATTTTGTCTCGTAATAAAAGTTTTCACCATATTCTAAGATGTCGTCTCACTAATGTAAATCAACGGAAAAACAAGAATAACATTTAATTCTTTAAATCCGTAAAAGGTATGTCTGTTGTTAAGATTCAAAAGAAATGGAAGAAAAAGGAAAAAAATAGACGGACATGATCTATTCCTTATCAGACTTAATGAAAAGAAATATTAAATTCCTATGCAAAAACATTTAGTTGTCAGATAAAACTGAATAAATGTGGAAAACAAGGAATTAGGGAAAACTTGTTAACAGAGAAGGATTGAAAAGAAGGAAAAAAAGGATTGATGGAAGAGAGGGATTGATAAGAAGAGAAGGGTTTATAAGTAGGGAAGGATTCATAAGAGAAGGATTGATTGCATAAGAAAAATAATTAATATAGGAAGGATAAATGATATAACGATAGATAAGATGTGAAGAATAAAAAAGAGAAGATGACAAATGAGATGGATAACTAAAAAAAGGATAATAAGAATTAAATTCAAACAGGAAAAGCCGAATATGAATCTTGTCTTGGTTAGTTCAGGGTGATTTTTTGGTAGACAACTCCATTTTCTCTTTTTGAAGGTAGGCCATTTACACGCCTCTTAAATTGGAATTACAGAGACTGTAAAGGAAAAATGAAAGGGTGTATAGGATGAAACCTGAGAATCTCAGGCGAAAAATGATACAAACAAGAAATCTATCTGATGTTCCTGTCTCGAGAAATTGATAAAAAACTGTGTCAAAATTATACAAAAATTCATGTCACGAAACATGACAATAGCAAGACGACTTGGAAGTCGTCTTTTGTATTTGAATTTATTTGTGACATTTAGTCTTCAATCTACTTTAACATTTATGATTCTTGAAACAATTATCACATAAGTCTCCTAGCCCTGGCATTTCCAAAAAGTGGTCTGCGTTTTTTGTGCTTTCAATATTACCGGAGATATAAAGAGTTTGGTTCAGATTTCAATTTTGTTAAATAAAAGCAAAATTGTCGAAATCTGAAATAGTGTCATACTTGAGATCCACCTTTTTTACGGGAAAACAAAATTTGGAGAAAAAGACAATTAAAACAAGAATGAAAATTATTTCTTTAACTTAATTATTATATTTATTGAGTCCATATGTCGAGAAGATTGGAAAATTATTGCTAATTTACAAGTAATATTTATATTTGATAACGTTTTTTTCAAAAAACCTCCTCCACGGGGTTCGGAGACCATTCCACAGGGTTCGAAGATTTTCCACGAGGTTCATGGCTTCTTGGCCTTCCCTCCCTACACCAGATCTTCAGCCATTGAGTGCAGTATACTGGTCACGTGATACGAACTCTATTTACTCAGTGTCATATTCGTATCAAAACTTTATCTATCAACAATTTGTCTGGTCAAAATATCATAACGGAAACTATATTGATTCAAAGTGATTTCTATTATTGAAAACATTGTTGTGAATTGCGGATTCGTAATCCCGAGGCATTGTTGGTTTAAAAAGAAGTTTTATGGATACACCAATCTTTGTCGGACACGCCGCTCTTAACAATAAATGATCTGCTTGTAATCTGCGAACTTTTATTTTACTCAGAGCTTGTGTTGGATACGAATATTATCACAATTACTTGATCTCGATATCCACTGGGGGCACTTTTATGTTGAGGATTTATAAAAACGAGACCTTTCCATACCTTTGTTTTAGTTATTCCTCTTCCGATTAGAACTCCCTTTATAACCCCGACTGCAGGTAGGATTACCATGCGAGATATTGAGTAAATATTGAATTAATCAATAGATTGACTGTAGATCCTGATAAAACATTGATCTTGATGTACACAATAAAAAGATACCCAGCTCTGTCTATCTATCTGTAAATTATCCTTGTTCCTCTCTGCACTTCAGCTAACTTTAAAAGAATGCAAAAAAAAACATTTTTAGATGTGATATCGCCATTACAATCAATTACATAAATTTTGAAGAAAAAAATTCCAGAAATAATCATTATTTAACATTGAGCTTAAGTCAAAGAACAATATTTTAACACAAAAAAAATAGTACAAAAAACTGGTTTTAATTACAAATATGAGTTTACCAGCCTAGCGCGGTAAATTGTTCAATTATACTTTGTCTTGAAGAAAGATTATTATAGAGATGGTGATGTTCTGATAGATTTTTACTGTTAAAAATTATGAACTTAAAACGGTTAAATAATTCTTAACATCACCAAATCTATACTTGAGCAGGTTGTTTTAATAATTTCTACTGCTATGATTCGACTAGATTGGAATCTAGAGGTAGAAAAGACGTTCCATGAGTAGCATAGATGGTTCCATCTTCACATGTTCTCCAATCTAGAGGTAGAAGAGACGGTCCATGAGTAGCATAGATGGTTCCATCTTCACATGTTCTCCAACCTATATAAACAGTTTAAAATTATTCAGACACAGTTTCTTTGCCTAGAAAAGGACTGTGCATTTATATCATTCTTTAAAACTGTTATTTAAGGATGAATATCATTAGAACTACAGAACCGATAAAAATCATTTTGTCACTAGTCAGTAATAATTTTAAAACTATGATTGTAATTCCAGAGGCCGAATTTAAAGAGTTTAAGCCGTGGCAAGTATGGTTGGTTCCACTTTAAATTGTATTGCAATGTTTCAAGATTTAAGCCGGCGCTCAATTGAACCCGGGTTTTGGCGGAATTTAAACGCGGCTCAAATTTATATAATTCGGACTCTGCTTCCTACAATCCTAGGCGTTTAAGTCAATAACTAAATCTAGAAAAGGAAACCTCATTAAAAATAGACATTTGTCAATGGAAATTGATTTAATTTCCTTGCAAGTTTTTTTCTACACAAAACATATTTTTAAGTGGATTTTACAAGCATTAAATTGTACCTTTGAAAAGATTGTTCTATATACCACTCAAAACAGAAATCATTAAAAGAAAGAAGCAGAATTTGCAGCAAATCTTTAGAATAGAATCCCAATATTTTGGCAACCTGATATCTTAGACCTTCAATATCTTAAACAATGACTTCAATTTGTCAAGATTACTAAAATATAGATTTATTCGATTAGACTGAAATGAATTCCTTTACAATTACATGTATGTACAGGACAGAAAAGCAAGTAAAGAAACAGAATTTGAATGCCCTGCAAACTCCACGTTTTACCGATCAAGTTATTCTTTATTTTCAATCAAAAATCCCTTTAATTTCCCCTTGAGTTCTAAGTATGAATTTTACTCTAAATGTTCTGTGAACATTTAGCTCTAAGTTGGCATAATATACTGTTTGTCTAAAAAATAGTTTTCAGGGAAAAATAATTAACTGTTTTGGTCAGAAATATCAATAAGGATAAAAAACTTGACTTTCGATGTTTAACTATTCACCCCCCCCCCAGCCGTTCAATTTCTTAAAATTATAAACTTAACCTCTGTTGTTCTTTCAAACATATTTTTTTTCACATCTCGACATGTAACATTGAAGATACATAAAGATTTACAACGGTTACAATGGGCGCTGTACAGCGTAGTGTACACTTAACATACCTGATAAGCTAGCTTGTGAGCGTACTGGCAGGGTGCTGGTACACGGATAGTTCCAGGCCAGTTGAAGTACATATGGGTCAGTTTATAACTAGGAAAATAATATAGTTTTGTATAAATGAATGTATGGTACTTCATGAAACAAAATAAAAAAGAATATAGATAATATTGATTAAGAATTTTAAGAGGAAATGAATAAAAAAGCGCAAAAAGAGATAAAAATATAAGAATAATTAATGTAATTATTCCAAGCTTTGATCCCCCCCCCCCCCTATCCATAAATACCTGATCTTCTGAACAATATCAGGAGAGAACTTTGAGGTATCTTTAATCACAACATAATGAGTCGGGGTTACAGTTCCCTAAAAATAAGAAATCAACTAATAAGACAGTGTAAAGTTAATATTTATAAAATATAATGAACATTTTTGTTGACAAAGAAAGTAACTGAAAATGCAAACGAAACAGTAGCTGATAATGCAAAGAAACAGTATGCTGATAATGCAAACGAAACAGTAGCTGATAATGCAAACGAAACAGTAGCTGATAATTCAAAGAAACAGTAGCTGATAATGCAAACGAAACAGTAGCTGATAATGCAAACGAAACAGTAGCTGATAATTCAAAGAAACAGTAGCTGATAATGCAAACGAAACCTGTAGCTGATAATGCAAAGAAACATTAGCTGATAATGCAAACGAAACAGTAGCCAAAGAAACAGTAGCTGATAATGCAAACGAAACAGTAGCTGATAATTCAAACGAAACAGTTTCTGATAACGCAAACGAATTATTCAACGATAGCTCCCCATAAAATTTGTTCATATACTCTATGAGTATTGAGCCGAGCTATTTATCTGACCAGGCCTGATCTACATTAGTATAACATATCATTTACAACATTAAATCAGTGCTTAGGATCCATTTTATTTTAACGCAGATCCGAATCCAAAATATAAATATTTCTCCAAGATGTTAATATATCTTTAACTAATGACATATTTCTTTTTTATTCGTTTAACCTTTTTTGGTACAATATTGACACTTAGATCAGGATCTGTGGATCACAAAGTTTTTTGCGGCAGATTTTTGTGAATCCAGGTTCAGGGAGTTCAATGTTACGGTCCCCGATTCTAAGCACTTGATTTAACTTATCTGGGATTAATGATAGATATAAGCAAGAAAACATAATAGAATAGTTGTCGTTTTTTTCTTTATATTAATAGACCCAATGCTTAGAATTTCGTAACAATGTAGCGGCCCAATTCTCTGAAAGGGTTTAAAAATGTGATTGTCGTCTTCAATCTTACTCCTTGTTAGAAAGGATCGTTTCTTTGTAACTGGTACACCTAATTATCTAATATCCACGTAATTTTCAGAGAATTGGCCCACTACAATGTCACGAAATTCTAAGCAATAAGTCTATTAATAAAAAAGAAAAAAACGACAACTATTCCACTTTTTAATAGATTTTTATTGTAGTGTGGTCAACCCGGTAACCGCCAATCAAGTTTTCGGAAATAAAGTCCTAAATTTTGACACTAAAAAAGTCCTGTGGAAAAACAGTCCTTGAAATAAAGTCCTACTATTTTAAGACTTTATTTTATAGGACTTTTTCTGGTTCCAGTACGATTTCATACATAAAGTCCTCTTTTAGTGAAAAATGCATGGGAATAAAGGATGTTTACAACCATGGAAAACAAAAACAACCCTGGCAACAATCAATATGCAGATGCATAGAAGAAAATTCCTGTTTATGAAAACTTCTCAGACTTGACCTCATTTTCACAAGACTTAGGATTTTTTTTGTTTTTTTATTTTTTCTTCAGGACTTTAGTTCCCGTAATCTTATTTCCTGAGATTTTATTGGCAGCCCCCAATATTATTATAATAAAAAAATTTCCAGGAATCTAAAACTCAGGACTTTATTTCCAGTGACATGTTGTCCTAGGAAAATTGCGACTTTATTTACAATAGTTTTTATTTCCAGATTTTTCTAGAAACTTCTTTCCTGTGACTTTCTTACACAGATTCGGTCGACCCTGGTATTCTTCCAGTAAATATATATTCAACCATTACAAACAAAAAATTCCTCTGACCAACATTTAGATGCGAAAATTCTGACACAGACTGCATCTTAATCTATGAAATTTACCACAAATAGTGTTTCAAGGTTCATTATTCTACTACAAAATGAAATCTTACACCTGCCACAAAAAGTTCTAAATAAACCTCTGGGTCAACCCTACCTGTGAAACATGTTGAGATACTAGCAGGAAATCGTAGTATTGAACTCTCATGATGGTGTGATCAATAACACTCCCAGGAGGAGGGTTCTGATACTTCCCACTCCCATTCAAATCAAAGAACCTCTCGTTAATTCTAAATAATAACGAAAATGTATTATCATGAACGAGCGTAAGTAGGAACTTTTGTGTTGTGAATCTCGGGATCAAGCCTGTAGTTCAATCGATATAATTGAAAGATCAAGTATTGATCCTCAAAATTAAAGTTCCCATATTGGATATTGAGATCAAGCGTTCAAGATTAACAAAAAAGTTCCGAGCTCTATACGTGTAGATTGTCTAGGGGTTGTAAAACTATATTCTGCAGAATAGTCAATCAAGTCGTGTTTCATTACTGCCTTCGCAAATTAGAATTTCTTTTTCAAATAACAAATAATCATCCTTGACAATCTGACAATTTTAAAAGAAAATACAGCAGAGGCTTATTCAGGGACTTGTCCAGGGGGGGGAGGCTTCATTTTTTCAAAAGATTTCACTGGTCCACGAGGGGGGCTTAGCCTCCATAGCCCCCCCCCCTAAATACGCCTCTGAAATACAGTATAAGGGAATAATGTTAATGAATGGGCTAAAATGGGCTAAATATCAATCTTTTAATTTACCTCTTCTGAACAATGATGAAGATAAACTCAGGGTTGAACTTCATTGTTGTGAAGAATCTCTAAAATAAGGGTTAAAATTAAATTAGAAGTATAAATAGTAGAATCACTAAGTTTCCCATATTACTTTTAAGAATTTATAATTATAAATATAATTTTAACGACCTAGGGTACCTAACTTTGCCTGGAAACTAATCTTTTTCAATAAAAAAATCTCAAATCGGTTCACAATTTATAATCGGACATATGAACAAATGAAGATTACTACGTTATATTCTTAGATAACTCTTTAAACACTGAACTGAAACTTATCATTAACAATACAATACAGAACTTGTGAGTACTTTACCTCAATCTGAACAGCTTCATGGAGCGCCACTGTATCAATCTGTCCATCTCCGACTCCGTCACGGAACAGAACAATCTAGAAGAAATATTTTCCGTCACGGAACAAAGCAATCTAGATGAAATATTTTCCGTCATGGAACAAAACAATCTAGATGAAATATATTCCGTCATGGAACAGAACAATCTAGAAGAAATATTTTCCGTCACGGAACAGAACAATCTAGAGTAAATATACTCCGTCACGGAACAGAACAATCTAGAAGAAATACACTCCGTCACGGAACATAACAATCCAGATGAAATATATTCCGTCACGGAACAGAACAATCTAGAAGAAATATATTCCGTCACGGAACAGAACAATCTAGAAGAAATATTTTCCGTCACGGAACAAAGCAATCTAGAAGAAATATATTCCGTCACGGAACAGGACAATCTAAAAGAAATAATCTCTGTCACGGAACATAACAATCTAGAAGAAATATATTCCGTCACGGAACAGGACAATCTAGAAGAAATATTCTCTGTCACGGAACATAACAATGTAGAAGAAATATACTCAGTCACGGAACAGAACTGTCCAGAAGAAATATACTCCGTCACGGAACAGAACTGTCTAGAAGAAATATACTCCGTCACGGAACAGGAAAATCTAGAAGAAATATTCTCTGTCACGGAGCATAACAATCTAGAAGGAATATACTCCGTCACGGAACAGAACAATCTACCAGAAATATACTCAGTCGCGGTACAGAACAATCTAGAAGAAATATATTCCGGCAGGGAACAGAACAATCTAGAAGAAATATATTCCGTCACGGAACATAACAATCTAGAAGAAATATACTCCGTCACGGAATAGGAAAATCTAGAAGAAATATACTCCGTCACGGAACAGAACTGTCTAGAAGAAATATACTCCGTCATGAAACAAAACAGTCTAGAAGAAAAATATTCCGTCACGGAACAGGACAATCTAGAAGAAATATACTCAGTCACGGTACAGAACAATCTAGAAGAAATACTTATTCATGGATTAGAATAATCTGGAAGAAATATACTTAGTCATGGAACAGAATAACCTATAAGAAATAAACTTAGTCAATGGTAAAGAAACATAACAATCTAGAAATGAACGTAGGGTTACCTCAACAAATTTCAGCCACATAAGTCCAGCCGTTTGGCCTGGTATAGCGATTAACGAATATATAGTACATATAATATGTATTGTATAATGAGCAAAGAGTTTTAATAAATAGATATAATAACTGAAGAGCTTTATTACATAGATATAATTAGCAAAGATCGCTAATAATACAAATGTTCCCCCATTTATCAACCAAATACCTGATCTGGAAAGCACTTGTTTAGCTCTCTATATTTCTGAACCAATTTTCCTAAAAATTCATCAATTATGTTTAGACTGAAATAAAAAACATCAGGGGGAAACTTGTTTTAATGATTAATCATTAAATTTTTATTTAAGATGGTTGGCATTGGAGAGTAGGGTCTTTATTTACTATGATTAATTATGCTGCTATATTTATTATGTCGAAACTAAAATAAAATGCTGGAACTTATTTATGATGACAGCGCGATATTTTTAATATTAATATTTCTTTTCTACCAAACTGTTTCTATTAAAAACATTTTTTCAAAAAATTTTTCTTAAAAATTTACTGTAAACTGTCAAAATAACAACAAATTAATTGAGTTTTTAGAAGCATAAGAAATTGGTTTTTTGTAACAGTCCCCCCCCCCCCCTGCTAGAGTCATATTGTTCTGCTGTAAATTACACCTATACCATACCTAGACATGAACGATTGTAAATTTTTAAAAATGAAAAATTAAGATCAGTTGAAGTTACGTTAACAGCCCTAATAAGGAAAGTTGAAATTTAATCTAAAGTTATTCTTAAGTTAATTTTTTTTGCTCAAAACAAATTTTTAATTCTGAATTATTCGTTAATATTTTTGCTGCCTTTGAAAAAAATTTGGAGAATGAAATGTTTTTTTCCCCCCTTCAAAATTAAGCTGTGAATCAAACTTCAACCAAATTGGAGATGGTCATTTCTAGAGCCAATCTCTTTTGTTTTGGAATGACCAGTTTACTGTGAAAGATTTGAAATTTTCAGAAAAGAAAAAAATGAACTCCATATTTTTCTGGTAAGATTCACATGATTGAAGTTACGTTAACAGTCCCATGAAGGAAAGTTGCAATGTTCTGGGACTGTAACTTTTTATCAAGGAAACATAACTTATTCAACTTAGATATTAAACAATGTCAGAAAATACTCTTCCCCATTAAAAAAAGAGTACAGCACTAATGTTTGTTTCTTATTAATTTACAGACACTGCTTTAAATGCTTTCATTTTAGAACTAAGACTACTAGAAAGTAAAGAAAGCAAAATTGGCGATTGGTGACCTCGCATATTTTTTTGTTAGAACATAAATTTCAAAAATAACACAAAAACAAAGGACGATTGATAGCCCATTAATAAAAAATTGATCTTGTGTGAGCCAAGAAAGCATTCCAAATTGGCGGTCCAGAGATCTCAAAAAAACTATTTCCACATTTCCAACAACATTTCTAAAATTCTTAAATCCTTATAAAAAAAGACAATAAAAAAATGTATTAACCTAGACAGATTGTGAGAACATCTATCAGCTCCTGACCCTTGGTCTCCTGGAGCCTACAGTCACTGTACCACTTGGACATTGTGCAGTTCATCGAACCAACAGCACCTAAAGGATTGAATCGAGTTGAAGCAAAATCGAGTTTTCTGAGAAAAATAAATTCAAAGATTCTAAGTAAGATGGATTTTTCATAGCAAAAAATGGGACTTTAATCGTTAAAATCTAATTCTTTTTATTAATCTACTTTTCAAAAAAAAAACTTTATCAGCCAGACAGGATGTTTTTAATGATAAAACTGAATTTTCTTGGCGATTGTTTTTCTCTAAAAATGGAAAACCCAAGTCCACTGATAAGAGCAAATTGTGATTTTTCACTCTCTTACATTATTGAGTTCCACCAAATCTTTAGAAAAAGTAAAATGTTTCTTAGGTTTAAATCTCTAGAAAAGTGTCAGAACTGTAGATTGAGGAAAATAATTAGAAAACTAAAGCCAATTTTAACTCTTAGACATCGTATTATATTGGCCCCTATTTAATTGAATGATGAGTTGTCTGCTAACAATAATAATAATTGGAGCAAAATTATTTTTTAATCTTCCAACCAGAATAAATAGTGATAATTTACCTACAACACTAGGCCTCTGTCTGGAGGGATCATGGTACACATCAATACCAATACACATCAGGTTCTTCAAGGGAATAGAACACCCCCACAGCTCCCCACCCAGCTTGCAGTTTATCTGCAGTAGGATCTTCTGCACAACGCTCGTCACCTTCCTCTCATCTGATATAGTCTTCGCAACTATCACCTTATAATCAATACTGGATCGGAGTATATATTTTGCAAATGCTATTCCACGAACGAACGATGTTCACTCTCAAGCAAAGTTTAAAACAAATAGAACTTGCACCCACAATAAACCTTTTAATACAAATTTATAAATGAAACGANCCATTGATCATAAAGAAATCCGATACTAGCCTTATCATTTTCCCTTATCAATTACAATCTTTGAAATTAAAATGGTCTCTATCGATAATTAAAACAACTTTAGAACAAAAGAGGAATAACTCGTTAAAATTTTATAAAAAAAGAATTGGTCAGTTATATAACAATTGTACAATTTAAACTGAAATCCTCTTGAATTCAAACTTGTATCAATTACCTGGCTAGGTATAGGACAGTCAACATTACAGAACTTCTTGAGAGCTCCATACCTGTAACAGATTAGGTCTCAAGAATGATCAATAAAACTTCAATAGATCACAATCTCCTCCTAAATCGAATTTCTCTAAATACCAAACTCACCTAACCAATAACCATGGACATACAATTTTTATAAAACTAGTTCCCTGTAAAAATTATTTCCCTTTCTTTAAAAAATATTTGTTTATCAATTTTAATATATAAGCTGTTTTAAGGAAATCAAAGAATTTTTTTAGCGGGTTATAATCTTGTTAATTAAAATGGATACTGAAGGTACCATAACCCTATTCTACTCTTAACACTAAAAATTATGAAATTAAAAATATTTCTTTGCAATTCAATTAAGCGAATATATAAAACTTTAAACAAAATCCGTAGCAGAACATCCGTAAATTTTCAAGAAAATTTTCAGTACAAGTTACAATTTTGCATTCTAAGCTACCCGCACAGACGTATGTGCAGATTTAGAATCTTATGGTGCGCATATTATAAATATTGCGGACTGTTTATTATTCATGCAACATTCTTTAGTTAATGTTACAATACATTTAAAAATATTGTTTGGAAACAAAGAAGAAAAAGACCTTGACTTGACCGAGCAATAATATTAATGTTTACTTGTTATCAATATCATTATTATTACGGTTATAATTCTAACCTGTCTTCTCTCTGGAGGGGAACTATACAGACGACTATCTGTGTACTACCATTAATCTTCTCCTTCAAATCCCTCAGATACAGATCAGTTTTCTGCAAATATTTTACAAGCTTATTTGCTGTCAGGAGGTCTTTGATTCCAAAAAATCGACATTAATCCTTGTAGTCTTAACTTTAGTGATGGAAGCATTGATCGCCATCTTAGACTTAAGAATAAATAAAATTCCTTTTCAATCCAGCGATAGGCATACACTGCGGGGTTAACTAATATAAAGGGATCAAGCATTGATCCACAAACTTATAAGTGCCCGCATTAGATAAAGAGATCCAGTGTTCAAGATTAATAATACTCCACACAATAGTTACTACCTTAAAATGGTTTTAACAAATTTTTACATTTTTTCGCAATCATGAGGCTTTAAGTGCAATCAGGATATTTCTAAATCTGTTATTAATGATAAATTACTTACATCAGACTGAATGATGGAGAGTGTTGGCTGGGTGACATCCATTCCCATCTTGGGAGCTAGCTTTCTCACAAGCTCTATAAACCCTTTAACAACTGCTGTGTTGCGGTCAGCGCACACGATATGCCAGGTCTTCAACGGAACTAAATTTAACCACAAAGTAAGAATTTAAGAGTTCGAGTGATAACATTTAAAAGCAGGACGAACTTAGCTATTCTTGCGTTTGTAAAGATCAATATACACAATACACCAGAATTATTTAAAGATGAATGAAAGGTTTTTTTTTAAAGGGACTGTAGACATAATTTCAAGAGACCCTTTATTTATCCACTTTGTCTGGAAAATCTACGATATCTTCCAAACTATTGATCTGATAAAAAGTGCCATTGTGAATCGGATGACTTGAAATTATGACAATCCTTTTTACCATAGATTATCAATACTCCGGATTTAAGGGGAAACAAAGCGTTTATATTTACAGTTCTTTACTTCGAAATAAGGAATTTGTGAATTCTATACTTCTGACCTGAGACCAAGCTGCTGTTGTTAGTAGAATCTCTGCCCCAGTCCGCCTAATATAAAAATTTTAATTGACAACAGAGTTTAAATTCATAATGATATCTTTTCCCCATTTATCCAACTAACATTAGGACGCATAGTCCTTCTGAACTGTTCAAAAATCAGTTGGTTTTAATTCAGCCGGGTACTTAAGAAATAAACAGAGATCTTTTGCCATCAATATTTAATCTGAGATTTTATTAGGAACTTGGATTCTTTTTAAAATTAGGATTAGTGAGCATGATTCATTATTTTTTTTTCGCCTGACGCCTGGTGCTTATAACAAATAACATTAACAACCAATCAAGTTTGACCATCAGACGTGTACACTTGATTTAAGCCAGGGGGTGGGGCAAAAAGTTTGCAAGAAGCACAAAATATTTCGTTTCCCACCCCTGGTCCTTAAATTGCTCTTAATTTATTTAAATCTACATATCCCCTTTGTAGTCTACTGCATTACAAATTCAAGGACTATATATTATGTAATGTATCCCTCTGTAATGTTCTGTAATACTCTCTGAAGTCTTCAGAAGACCCCTTATCTTTATTCTCCCCCACCTCTCTCCAACTAATTTAGTTTTATGGTGATCCCCCCACTTCATGGGAGTTGCGGAAAGAGTTGCCAATCACTTGTAGAATGCATATAGCTATAATTGTTTAACATATATCTGTAGTTAAGAGAAAGATTTTCGGGGGGGGGGGGG